AATATAAATAAATCTTTTTTTTCTTTTTCTTTATCAGAAAGCTTTGCCATCTCTGCTGCCTATTCTAATGAACGTTACAGGAATTTTACTTCAAGCTGAAATGTGGCAGCGTGCAAACCCAGAGGAAGTTTCTAATGAGTAACTGTCTAAGGCGAGGCTTCCTGTAAAGCAAAGACAATGATTAAAGGTTTTCAGACCGACAGGCTGAACTGGTCAGTTAAATGTTTGGAAAAGTGACGTTAAATATGTTTTTGTCATAGCATTCATATATTTATGCACCATTGCCGACAGAGGTACATGTGAGAACACAAACGTGTGCTGCTTTAACCCAACAGATTCCTTCTTAAAGGCTGGATGGTGTTGGGTTTTGGTGATATGCTGCATACTTTACCTACAATACGCAGCATTTCCTAATAGTACAAACGTGACTGAAACTGCCTATTTCCTGCTACTGTATGTGCTACATGTGAGAAAGGACAGCTGTGGAAAATATCCTAATGCAGGTCGCCCAAAATTGCCCAAAGTTCACGTATGAAAACCACTTAAAATGACGCATTTCACACGAGACATTTTGACAGTTGTGAATAGTAAGGACTGTATTCAGCATAACTGCCTGCGTTTCACTGTCACTGTCATAGTTTCTACATCCACATAAAGGACTGAGGTCATATTATCAGCATTATATCATTAATTACATTTTTGCTGTGGCACAACTAAAACAAGACGGGCAAACTTTAGCTGAGTAAACATTAGGGCTGGGTATCGTCACTGATTTCTAGAATCGATTCAATTCCGATTCACAAGGTCCCGAATCGATTCGATCCACGATTCGATTTAATTCGATTCGATTCAATTTAAATCTGGGAAATTTTGACAGTCAGAAATATAATTCAGATCAGTACATTTACATATTTTTGTATCTATAAAAAGGAAGCTGACACTCGCAAGACTTTATCCAAGCTGTGAGCATCACAGCAGAGGCCTTTGTGTCAAAGTAGCTGAAGATAAAACACAGAAAAACATGTAGGTGATTTTCCTGGCCTGGGATTTTATAAAAAATATTCTGCAGTACATCAAAAACGAAAGAAAACCATTAATTAATGAACATTACCTCTGACGTTACAGCGGTTTTATTAGAGACACAGCTAAGCATTTTGCATTTTGAATAATTTTAAAAAATTTAAATTTGTTCAATATTGAACAGCAGAAATGAGGTTTTCTTTTCGGAAGAATGTAAAAGGGAAAAAAACAGCGGCCGACAGCGCTGTAAGCAACAGTAGACTTGTGCGTAACAAGCAAGCGAATAATGAAGGAAGCAAAACTGTTCGAGAGAGAGAGAGAAAGAGAGAGGGAGAGGGAGAGAGGGAGAGAGAGAGAGCTGCGCATCGCAATGGAAGCAAAACAGTAAAAGAGGGAATTCATGACGATGTTTATGTGAAGCGTTTGGATCTTCTTTTGCTGCTGGTTCGGTCAATATTGTTTGGAGAGAGATCAAACTAACAGCCTTAGAATCAGCGCATAAAGGGCGTGAACACAAAGCGCGGACCCGGATCAGCGAGCTGTCGGCTTTCACTTTCAGCCCCGACTGTGAGAAAGGCGACATCTAACTGATTCTGATCCGCGGGTCACGCCCTGTGTTTAAGTCTATGTGCAGAATCCCTGTACCTGCTCTCATTTACTGTTTGGTGGTTCTTGAAATTTTGTGAGATGTCACCAGAGATTCTGGCATTTCGGACAAAATAAATTTATATTAAAAAATCGATTCAGGATTTTAATGAATCGATTTTACGTTACCCAAGCCAGAATCGATTTTAATCGATGAATCGATTATAAAAACCCACCCCTAGTAAACATCTTGTGATAAATGCACACTACTGAGCATTATTACACACTGAATTCATAAACACTTTGGTATAAGGCACACCTCTTTCTCCTCTCACCCATCTGCTGGTTTTTGCAGACATATCTTGGTTTGGGTAGTTTTTACTAGGCACTGGGAGATCTTTTCATTGAAATTTTATGTCATGTTATTCTTACATATAGTAATAGTAATTATAATACTTTTTATATATTCAGACAACACTGCAAAATGAAGAATGTTCAAAATGGAGCACACATATTTATTCATATCTGCTTGGAGGCATGCAAGGATCTTTAAAGATCCAGGATCTGAACTAAAACCTGTCAGATAATCTACGTCGCGTGTTACAGTTGTGGTCAGACTACCGATGGACTGATTTCATTAGAAGTCCATTGCATTAAGCTAAGCTGCTTTGGATGTCCCTGACTTCTGCATTCTCTTAGTTTGCATTTTGTTGTTCTAGCTGCTTCTTCTGAGCTGCTTACACAGGCGGCTCTTTGACTCTGTTTGGCCTAACATAGATGCTGTATACTGTATATGTTAAAAAAAAGAAGTCGCTGAGCAGATTTTTAGAATTTCTTTTTAAGCAGTAAATTTAAGTATTTGTAAAGCAGAGACCATATTTTTGTCTTTTTGGGAGTGAAGAGAAACTGATACTCGTGGTTAGTAGTGCTTGGTTTAATTGAGATGAGTCACGGTGCTATTGAGTTATATTTTTCTGGTTTCTCATTTATGGAGCTTATCTTGCAATATCATCAAACGTAGACGGTAGATTTTGTAACGCTCTGCCCACAGCTGTCACACCATGGGAAATCAGTCATGAACTCTGTTGACCAAAGTTTTTATCTCTCTGTAGATTATTCATTTTCCCACGCTCTCTACTGTTTTCTTGTTGTGCGCCACCATTGAACACGCCAAAAAGACGTTATCTCATCACGGTGGCGTCTGTCTGTCTCTCTTGTAGACGGATTGTTGTGAATGAAGTAACTAAAGAACAATAAACCAGATTTCTTAAAGCATGCCTTTTTCCATTAAAAGCAGGTTGTGTGATGAAACCAAACTCCTCTAGCTGCATAGATTTCCGTTAATGATGAAAGCCATTTTCAATATCATTAAAGGCTACAAGTAGGCGCATGTTTTACGAGTTACCACCACGCAGATTAAGGTCCAAGGTTTCTGTAGCATAAAAACGCTGATAAGGTAAATGAAACCGAACTTTAAAGGTTGACAGGTGCAGACATCTTTATCATCATTTAAAAACATCAGTGACACTGAAAACCTTTCTCACTATGTAGAAAGGATTCTCCTACTGACTGCTTTAATTGCAAGTTATTAAAAAGATTGTTCATCTAATTAATAACTGAAGCTATTGAAAGTAAAAAGAGTGGCCGAGTGCTTCACACTACTCGCGCTAAGTACAAAATTAAGGACTTTTTCATTTGTACACTTAATTATGAACATTTTGAATGCAGGGATAATAAAATATAATTTTTTTTTATTTACTTTTATGGTTGGATGTTAAGATTAATACCACTGTCATACGTATGTGATCACTGTGACGCTTTAGTCAGCAGCTAGCTCTCCTAGCTTATCTAGATTATCATAAAGGCTGAAAACACGGAGGCGGTAGTTGGACCGTCTCCAAAGCCAACAAAATATTTCTGTTGCACCCGCATCTCTCAAGCTCACAGATTGTGTCTCTTGTTTAATCTGCACAAAAACAAAAATGTAAAAATAACAGATTGCCTTTGTAAAGGGGGTTATTTGTCGAACTGTTTCTTTGGAAGGACAAAAATAGCGTTTCACCGCTCTTGAGCAAAAGGAGCTACTAAAATTGAACATCATATTGCTGCAGTCACAGTAATAGTGGGAACAACCACAATTAAATCAACTATAAGTCAAAGAACCTGGAATCTTATTGGCTTTGAAACTGTTGCTTCAAAGATGGGGACCAGGTCTGCAACCACTTGCAGTCAGCTGCCATAAAACTGCAATAAAATGCAGTCACGAAATGGGGATGATATGTGGACAAGTTGACAATTACATGCTGTCAGTTTATGATAATGCACTGGTTAATGCTGTTTACATGCGCAGAAATGCAAATTAAACAGAATTGACAACCTACATTGAGAATCCAGTCAGAAGCTGGTAGATCTGAAACAAGAGTTCTTTCTCAAATGGTGACGTATGTGCTGCACGATGCTAATTTAACAACAAAATAAGAGAGTTTAGCTTTTACTTAGGAATATGACGGGAACCTGCTGACAACCGGTAAAATCAAGTCCACAATTATAAAAAGACGTGTCCCAGACTAGTTACACTCATTGTGGGAGACCGACTCAGACTGATTGCAACACGTTAGCGAATTGGCTCCGTTAGTAAATTAAATAACAGTCATTTTGCAAACCTTTGTCAATCTGTCTGAGAATCCGACCGGCATTGTTTGGAGACTGGAGGTCGAGGGTGCAACATGCTCGATCTCCGAGCGACCATTTGGCCGCCACAGCTAGTTGGAGTCACACAGTGAGAGAAGAAAGATCCTTTTCCTAGCTGGGAGGAGGTCGTCTGAACCTTCATAGATATTACATGTTATCAATCTTGTCTTCACCAAAGCGCAACTGTGCATATTTTTCTAAAATGTCAAACTTGTTTTTGATGCTGCTTTGGGATTTCAGTTCATTTCTCCAACAATCTCTTGTGTTGATGTTCACATCGGGAAATCCTTATTTATGAACTTTTTGGGTTTATGTGTTGAGAAGCCTACTTAGTTTGAAACAACGCTGAAAACAACGCCATCATGTCAGGCGCTTTAAAACTCTTTATCTTTTTGTCCGTCCTTCTTATAGTCTTTGACTGTCACGTGTCACTGAGTTGCCGTCTTTGCCACACAAGGAAACACAGGCCAACACGACCTGATATCTGGTTTAAAAGATCACCCTTCTGTCACTTGCTAAGACCTTGGCTGACATTCATGCTTTACTTTTTTGTCCTTCCTCTGATCCCTGCTGCCATTTCTGCCATCTGTCTGTTACCCCCTGCTGATCGTTCTATCAGAAAACAATCATTTAAAAACAATATAATAAGTGGAACCAGTCTAGTGGGAAACCAATTAACCTTTACATCCTCCCTCTCCCTCCAGGCCCAGGACCTGAGTGTGATTGAGGAAGTCATCCGCATGATGCTGGAAATCATCAACTCTTGCCTGTGCAACTCTCTACACCACAACCCTAACCTGGTGTACGCACTGCTCTACAAGAGGGAGCTCTTTGAGCAGTTCAGGACGCACCCGTCCTTCCAGGACATCATGCAGAACCTCGACACGGTCAGCCTGTTTGAGGGTTGTTGTTTGGTTTTTTTAAACTAGGAATCGCACAAAGCATCACAAGTGAATTAAGAGAAGCCTGACAGTTTTTTCTGCAGTGTCCTCTTTGTCTGCTCAGAAATGTTGAAAAAGCCGGGCCAGAAGATTGCAGTCAGGCAATAAAGAATGAAAGACTTAAGTAGTATGATTGAATTAATCAGTCCACTGGTGTCAAGTATCTGCACATTACATCTCAAACATTCAATGAGTATGCGTGGTGTATAAGTAAGAAGGGACGCGAGAAATCTGTCATTCACAGTCACGTAGAGAAGGGAAAGGAAGCTTTGGTGGGTATGAGTGTGTGTGTGCAGAGGATGGGGGTTGCTGCATACATTGCCACAGGCTTTTACAGTTATCCATAAGTATGAGGGAGGCATGCCTAGGTAGAATCCCTCGGTTAAGTCAGTTTCCCCGAGGCTATTCAGGATGCGAGGCGGCTTTTTTGCTCTTCTAAAATAAGCCCATATGGGGGAGGCCTTCTGAGTTAATGAAGAGATTAGTATTAGATAGATGTAGACACACATAGTGCATGAACTCTGGTGTGCTTGAAATCTTTAAAACAGCCCACACTGAGAAACAAAACTGCCTGTAGAAGCATTTTTTAATGTTGCTCTGACAAAAAAAGAGCTTTAAAAGGAATTTGTAATAGTTCTTTTTTTTTGTAATTAAGGAACACCAAACATTTCTTCAGGGGAAAAACTTAGAAGAGCAGTGGAAACACAAAAAATACTTTCTTAGATTTCTTCTTTGAGGTTAAACCCAGAAAGCATTGAATAATTTTTAATTCCAGTGAACTACATATTTAAAATGAAAAGTTTTTGACATTTTCTAAGTTTTTTTCCGCTGACAATAAGCAGAATTCACCCAGCTTTGCAAATCATCTCGATTTATGATCAGCTGCAACTCTTTAAACATCTCATTGTAATGGCACCAGTCAAGCCAGTCCAGTCCAAAATTAAATCTACTCATTCTTCCAATTATAGCCACTTTTTGTCTGTCTTCTAACAGGCTTAAGTGTAATTTGATAAACATACACTATCATAAATACAATGATTATTTTAATGCTTGAAGCCTGAGGTTTGGAACACGTGGATATGTGCCAAATGCTGGGTGGTCCACGGCTGCATCTTTACTGCAGCCATCTTTAGTTGCTGCTTGTTTGTAAGTCTCTCTGCCTTTTAGCCCTCGATCAATGAAACTTAGGTTTAGGTCAGCTGACTGACTCATCCATCGAAAGGACGATTGCAGTTTATTCGAAGTGTCGCGCTAACGTGGCACTCTGAACTGAGAAGGTGCCCGGGGCATCTGCGCACAATGTCCGCTCCAGTTTGAGGCAAAGTCACAGACGTGCAGATCTATGTTTACAGTTAAAAGCTTTAAGGAGACCCGTGCATGTATTGGCAACCTTTACCTGGGGTGAAATGGCACCAAAAGAGCATTATGGAAAGCGTGTGTGATGATCTGGACCATGATGCGCTGCAAGAGGTTGAGCCCTGGCATGTGGAATGTACACCTACTGCATACTTTAACACGTTGCACACTACATACACCTTTTCAGAAAAGTAAGCAAAAGTATCCCCTGGTGGCAGTAACCCATTTCAGCAGGCTAACGCACCCCTGCCCCACCGCAGTGCTTGTTTAAGATTTAAAGAATACAACAACAGACTTCAAGGTACTAACTCTGTCTCCAAATTCCCCAGTTCTCGATCTGACTGAGCATATCTGGGATGTGCTAGAAAAACAAGTCTGATCCACGTAGGCCCCACCTTGCAACTTACAAGACTTAAAGGATCTGCTGCTCATGTCACGGTAGCTGATACTGCAGATCCGAGTTGTTTTTTCTGGTCCTACATAATATTTGGTAGGTGCCTTAATGTGGCTGGTTTATCTGAATAGTGTGTGCTGTGCTGTATCCTTATAAAGAAGTATTTACAGAAGCGAGTTACTGTTGCTAGGAAACATGGCAGCCCATGCACGTGTTTAAATGGCCGTTTATGGAAGCGGCAATATTTTGCCTTAAATGAAACCGAGCTGTCGACGTACTGTAGGTTCAGCACAGATTCCTCTAACGTCATGTTCAAACCACCTTTGGAACACTGACCAGTGTTGTTGTTGTTTACACAGCTGAGGTCTCTCAGGCCTACGCGTGTAGCATGATGCCATTTTGTTCCTAGATCTTCATATTGCACCCGGTGTCATCATATCGGGTGTGGCTGCTGAAATATTAATGTGACAGCTCCAAACAGGGATTAGAAGAGTTGGAGAGGGTCGTGATGGAGCTGGGACTTGACATTAAAGCTCAATGAGAACAAGGTCCCGTGTGTGTATTAGGAAACACAGACAAGAGTGAATATTGATTTTTTATTTATTTATTTTTTGCTAATGCTACCAGCTGATTTATACTTACAAGTAGAACAAAATGGAACAAAGATATCAATAACTGCATTAACACAAAACCTGACGAGAAATATTTTAAAATAACCATTTATTTTTGAGGAGATAATCAACAAGAGTTAAATTTCATCAGCGAGTTATATTTTCTTCTATTTTATTGGATAAAAAGTGGATTTTGCTTTGGACACTGCCTGCTTTATCACATATGTTTTGTTAAGACACTTAACAATGACCATTCAAACAAAAGAGACATCTTAATTTTGTGTCTACGCTTGAAGACAACTTGGCAAAGAACCTTTTTTTTTATTATATCTTTAGACAATCTGTTACTAGCAGCCTGTCACAATTCCCCCACATTTCCTTAGTTAAATCTACAAAAAATGCCTGATATAGCGTAGTTTCACAAGCATAAAATAACAGTTTTTGCACCAACATATTGATTTTCAAGCTTGTAAGAATTATACAAACTGTGCTTTTGTCTTATATACTATATTCCCATGTATGTTTGCACATTTCAATAAATAACTGCACCTATTTCCCATTTTCCTGGCAAAACATGAAAAACTGAGGACACTGTATTGGTGGTAATTTGTATTTAAATTCTGTGTTTACCCGTAAATACTCCAACTGTATTCAGTCCAATTAAATTTTATTTGTATAGCACCAAATTACAACAACAGTCACCTCAAAGCACTTTAAGGCAAGCTAAAAGACCCTATGGCAAGTTTGTGATTGGCTGTTTCCTCCTGTTTGACCTTTAGGTTATTGGTTTCTTCAGTCAGCGTCTGGAGCAGGCTGGAAGTGACCTGTCTGTTGAGAGAGTTCAGGAGGTCATCATGAAAGGAGCCCAGGCACTGCCAAAAGACAGACTGAAGGTAATTCACTCACACAGACACACAGGCAGCGGGGCGACAGACAAAGTGGAAGAGCGTGGAAAGCAGGAGTCATAAAATGTGGGCTTTGCTAAAAGGTTAAAAAAGAGAAGAAGAAGAAGTGGTAAATTTCTATGCATGTGAAGAGAGTCCAGTTGAACAATCGAGATGTTTGGGATTGGGATATGGACTCGGGCAATGGAATGATGGAAGGAGGCCTTTGGGAGTGGACACAAAAGGCCAAAGCCCAGTTCTCATTAGCATTAATGCCCATCTTCGTTCCATTTCTGCTTACCTGCTACATGTGAACATGTAATGACATTTCAAGGAGATGGGATGGGGGGACGGCTAACGGCACTTTGTCATGGGTACATCAGATTGGGGGGAGGGGACGAAGGAGACATAAATCTGCCACCATGCCTCGTTACCCAACACTCCTGGCGGGTTCTCTAACCCTTTCCCTTTCCAATGCTCCTCCATTAATCAGTAAGGAAATATGTAACCAGCGGTCTCCACAGCAGCTCGGAAGCTCTTAATTGCATGTTTTATCATGTGTTTCATGTTCCATATACTTGACTGTTGGCTGCAAGCCATTTGTCTGTGGAAGAGGGATGGTGCGCGGCCATGAGTCCATGTTCTCTCTCTCTGCCGTGCTCACAGCGAGCTCATCAGAGCACTAATGTAGCGACCATGAATTCACAGAATTACCCACCGAGCCATGTGGATAACCCTCATGTCCTTCAGCGAGAGTGCTGTACCTGTGGCACAAGTCAATGTGGGTCATGAGTGTGTGTGTGTGTGTCATCTCCTGCATTTGTGTATGTCTGCTGATGACCATCTGACTAAATGGCAGTCTACGTTTTTGTGCAAAAGTGTTTTTGAGTCTCACGCTGACTCCACATCAGAGTGCTTTCCAGCTCCACAGGGTGATGTGAAGTGAAAAGTATATCTGGGCAATGTGTCTTCCGGGAAAAGTCCCTACCATTTGATGGCACCATCTCTCAAACAAACAGCTGTCTCTCCACCTCTCGCCTCCCGTCATCCTATGAGCTCATTCAGCTTCCCCCCAATGTAAAAATCTATAGGTTAGATTAATGTTGTGTGGAATCGTCGATACGTCGGCAATTACTCCGATGAAGCAGTATCGGTGTCTCAATCAGTTGTGGCTCCACGGAGAGCGCCGACATGAATGAAATGTTCGGGAAAAGCGATTGTTCCTCGCTCTTTCTAAAAAAATAAAAAAAATTTGTGGAGTTTTTTTTTTTTTTTTTTTTTTTTTTTTTTTTGTGGAGTTTTTCTTGCCCTCGGGTCATGTGAACATTGCATGTAAATGAGTGCATCAATTTTTAAATCTTAAAGTTGCACCCATATCTACACTAACAACCAAAATCAGAACATTTTGTTAACACTTGCTGAAAGCTGAAAGCACCACTGTGGTGTTGCAGTGCAGCTGGGGAAGGATATCTATAAAACTTCATTCCCAAACTGTATTCTATGGTTCTTCTTGCACACTGATAAAATCATCAGTAAGGTGACATTATTTTCAGATATCGTCTTTTTTTGTGGTTATTTATTTTTCAGCTCAGTTATGCAGTCGCAGTGAGAATTCAGCCATTTATGTTGACAGGAGGCGAGTTAACAAGCATAAAACAGAGGCTTAGGTGGAGATGATACTTCCCATGTCTGTGGGTCTGCTAGTGTCCGCTTGGATCCCACCAAAATCAATTTTATCATCAGATGGTTTGCACGCGGTGAGTGCAGACGAATGTATCAGCTAGCCATGCACCCAGACAGCTGTCTTCAAGCAGACCTCCAAGAAGTGTTTGGCATAACAGGACTGACTACCACCCCATCGGGTCTCCAGCTGTCCTCCACTGAAATAACTGATGCTTAAGACACAATTTACTGTTATTGCATGCAAATGTTTGGACATTTTTAGTTGCAAAATGATCTTTAAAATTACGTTTTTAGATTATTTTTTTTTAAATAAAAAAAAAAAAATCCACATTTAGTGTTAATCTGTATCAGCCTGTACGTGGCGCCAATATAATAACTTCAAAATTGGTTGGTTGGGAACTGCAGACACTTGTCAGGTAAACCACTGACATAAAGATAGCATGGACACTAGTTAATCTATTGAAATAGAAACATATAAGTGAGGATGCAGATTTTTAACGGGGCAAAATGTAGACATGCAAATTAGGCGCTAACTGAAAGAAAGGATTGAAGGTGGTAAGTACCCCTTGGATGACCCTCAACACTCAGCTGCCTGCCTCTCATTCTTTGTGTGTGTGTTGTTTCAGGGTGTGTGAGGCTGAGTGGTGCTTATAGGCAGTGCCTGCGGAATGTGTTGTTTAGCCTCTCCTGCTGAAATCTGCCTCTTTGAGCAGCGATAGCCTACAGACTCTCTGGCTTCTCAGGAAGAGACGGAGGGGGAGGGGGGTTACCAGCTGTTAGTCAGTCAGTACCTGGGGCTTAAGAGGCCTGATGGCAGCCATTACTACTTTCCCACACACTGACAACACAGTTTCTATACATTTCTATGTAGAAATCCTCTTTCAGATGTGTGCAGTAAATTCAGAAAGCCCATGCCTAACTTGTGTAATACAGTCCGCCTTCAGAGCTCAAACTTAGGGCAATCGGGACTTTGCAAAGCGTTAATAGTATTAAGCAATTTTCACAAATGCATTGCAGCCCTGAACTTTTGTAGTGCTCACCGAATGAAGCGCAGTGTGATAAACGTCCACCGCTCTCTAGGTCGGAGATTGGCTGCTCTTTTAGTCTGCGAGCTCTCTGGTACAGATATTTTTCCAGTGCATTCACTGCTAGTGAGTCGCCGTCATGCGTCCCGGCTTCTTCTCACCCTGTCCAGGAGGCTCCTTCGCTTAAAGCCTGCAAAGTATTTCCAGTAATGCACGCATGTCTGAGGTGGATTGGATAGCTGTGGAAAATCTACTGACCCAGTTTCACCGAAAATGTCCGAAATTCATGTATGAAAACAGCTCAACACTGTCGAAAGAAAGGTCACCCTGACGATTTCTTAAATATACCAGTTCTCTCCTGTCAGATCTCAATACTTGAACATGATTTGAGCAAATGTAGAAAAAAAATCATCAAGATCTGTAGGTTGAGCTATTGTTTATTTATTGATTGATTATTGATTCTGGCTTTTTGCCATATTTGATCATCTGTAATAACTGTCTTATACAGTTTGAGCATTTAGAGTAAGACTTAGGAGTAGGGGTGGGTTTTTATAATCGATTTATCGATTAAAATCGATTCTGGCTTGGGTAACGTAAAATCGATTCATTAAAATCCTGAATCGATTTTTTAATATTAATTTATTTTGCCCGAAATGCCAGAATCTCTGGTGAAACCTCACAAAATTTCAACAACCACCAAACAGCTAAGACAGTAAATGAGAGCAGGTACACGGCTTCTGCACAAAGACGTAAACACACAGCGCGGATCAGAATCAGTGAGATGTCGCCTTTCTCAGCTGACGGTCGGGGCTGAAAGCCGACGGCTCGCTGATTCTGATCCGCGCTGTGTGTTTACGCCCTTTTTGCGCTGATCATATGGCTGTTAGTTTTATCTCTCTCCAAACAATATTGACCGAACCAGCAGCAAAAGAAGATCCAAACTGCGCTTCACATAAACATCATCATGAATTCCCTCTGACTTTTGCTGACTTTTCAGTATAAAAATCACACTTCATGCACAGCTCTCTCTCTCTCTCTTTTCTGCATTATTCGCTTGCTTGTTACGCACCAGTCTACCGTTGTTTACAGCGCTGTCGGCCGACGTTTTTTTTTCCCTTTTACTTACTTCCGAAAAGTAAACCTAATTTCTGCCGTTCAATATTGAACAAATGTAAACTTTTTAAAATTATTCAAAATGCAAAACGCTTAGCCGTGTCTCTAATAAAACCGCTGTAACTTCAGAGGTAATGTTCATGTGTTGATTAATGGTTTTCTTTCGTTTTTGATGTACTGCAGATTATTTTTATAAAATCCCAGGCCAGGAAAAATCACCATCATGTTTTTCTGTGTTTTATCTTCAGCTACTTTGACACAAAGGCCTCTGCTGTGACGCTCACACCTTTGATAAAGTCTTGCGTGTGTCAGCTTCCTTTTAATAGATACAAAAATATGTAAATGGTACTGATCTGAATTATAATATTTCTGACTGTCAAAATTTCCCAGATTCAAATCGAATCGAATCGAATTAAATCGAATCGTGGATCGAATCGATTCGGGACCTTGTGAATCGGAATTGAATCGATTCTAGAAATCAGAGCCCTACTTAGGAGTCTATCTGGTGTCACCTCGGATATCTTTCCCTGTCAAGAAAATTATGATGTTGCCAAAAAGAAAAATTTAATCAGCAGAAGGATATTTACTACATCAGTTTACCCTTCATTTTATCTGAAACATACAAAAGAATCATATCCTTTTAGTTTATTTTCAGCTGTCACTATGGGACATTGCCCATAAATATTACTAGCTAAAGCTTTCAGACAGTTGTGGTGATCGCAGTATATTAATATTTTTCTGTGAGAAAGTCACAGAGGCATAAAGTGATGTGAGATTGAAATAAGTACTTTGACTTTTAACTCAAACGTACTATTTGAGACAAACGAGAGTTAAATTCCACCACTGATCGTTTTTTAAAAATGTATATAAAGTTTATATCATAATAAAATATTGATATAATGTAACCTGTTTATATTTGGACGATCAAAATGCAAGCTAGTCTCATGAGCTATGTTAGCAAACTAGTGTGCTTGCTAAAGTTAACATTACTAAAGGTGTTCTTCCAGATACATCACACACCCATGAAACGAACTAAACTTTCCCAAAGGACGGCTCTAAAAAGCAGAATGTGAATATAAAACCCACGACTTTTGTCAAGGATTTGTAAAGTGTTTCGAAACCTGACTTTTCAGTGTTTGTGCGTGTACCTGCATGTAAATGTGTGTGTTTGTGTGTATCAAGTTCTTATTTGCTCCCTCGCCGCATTCTTCTGTGTCTGGCCGCCGAGCGCTGTCAGCGAAAGCACAGTGGAGGAAAGGGAACACAGCGTCCTAAGTAAAGATATGAGGCCAGCCAGCCAGTCTGTGTTCAGGGGCGAGGGCCTGACCCGCCAGGACCCATAACTAACTGATATGAGCCCGGGCCAAGTGGGCCCCAGCCAGCAGTCAGACTGAGAACAAAACAGAGAAGGGGAGGGGAGGGGAAGTCAGCAGAGAGACAGAGGAGATATGTACTGGGACAGTATGAACAGAATAAGGGACAGAGATAATATTAGTTACTGGATGTGGCAGTCTGGAGATGCTCTGATTTTATTTTTATGTTATTTTTTCCCCAGAATTCACTCAAGCCTGAAAGCAACATTTTTGCTGTGAGGCACTTGCCATTGCCTTGCAATATGCAAGGCAATTACCCTGGTGGGGCTCTCGAACATAGATGTAAGAAGAAGAAGGCGGCCGTTGGGATTCTGGGTCATTTTTCCCTCTTCTGGCTTTGTGAAATTTAGGGAAATTGGTCATGTGAGCGTGCGGGACTTTAAGTTCCCACGGTGTCGAAATTAAACTATAGGAGTGTAAGGATGCTTTTTATAGATGCCTGCATGCTAAAAACTGTAATTCTAGCCTATTGCTAGGTGGTTACTAGGCAAGATGGGATGTCATGTCTGATATGATATAGATAAGTGCTTTCAGGGGCCTAAGACGTACCTGTGTGCCAAGTTTTGTTGCTCAACTCCTGATTGCGTAGGAGGAGTTGGCAGCCGAAGAAACAAACAAACACACAGGTGGAGATTTGTGTGTTATAGTAAGACATATTTAGGGCTTTGTTTGTGCCAGATTCATGTCGAGTTATTGCGATTGTCCACCAGAGATATCACTGTAAAACAGCAACTTCTCCTCTGTAAGTGTTTATTATTGAGCTTGGGACAAACTCTAATCTAAGCTAGATGGCTAACTATAATTATAGATTTAAAGTACAAGCACGAGTCTGGTATTGATCCTCGCATCCATATCAAGAAACACAGATTGGATGCCGAGCTATTCCTATAATTACAGAGGAATTCCTTTGCATCAGTGGCACCCATTTTTGAAGTAGTGATAATGTTAGCGTGTTAATACTAAAAGCACGCCAGAGATTTGTAAAGATCTAATTATAATATGATTGGTGATGTTTCTGCGTTTCCCATGAATAATAATTTAGATTCTTTCAATGAGGCCATGAAAATGATAAATTATGGGTTTAATACTGAAGTGAAGCCACTCATATCTGTATTTATACAGATATAAAGCATGCAAATCCGTATAGTAATGCTAGAGTAAATACCATTTGTGTGCTTGTGCTTTAGCTCTGAGTTTCTTTACCTTTTTCTTTAAACTGTGACTGCTGTGTTCAGGGCTCATGATGGAGAACTACTTATATTCAGAGTGTTTAATCAAGCGTTTACCAAAGTAGCCTCAGTGTCTTATGTGTGTCTGGTTTCTATGAAAAAAGGCGCTTATGCCATATTTTGCTCATATAGAGGATTCGTTTTAGAGGTGTTAACATTGATTGCGCATGTACACATAATGCTTTACGAGTAAGAATAGGTTAATGCTGATGCTGTAACATGTGTTGTTTCAAACCTATGTTGACATAGCTGTGTCTGCTGGTTTATGCTTTGATTAACCTAATTGCCTAATAGCACAACTGGTTGTGCTTCATATGTTTTCATATATCACGGTGGTTGCTGCAGGGTATTAATCTGCTCGGCTGCCGTCTGTTCATGCTTGTAAACACGACACTGCTGAAGAAAACTATTTTCAATCAAAATGAAAAATTAAAGGCTGTATTTCTTCCTCTAAGCTTACAAGTAAAGGCCTGAATGTGTGGAGCAACTGTCACCAACAAGGTCATGTGAACGCCGGATGAGTCGTTATGCTACGAGGGAGTCACCTACACACCCATGCCACTCAGATAATACAGTTCCTGCATTGTGTCTGGCCATCCACAATGGGAGTGGTGTGTGTGTGTACAGTTTAGCCTCAGTAACCTGGCATATGGCCTGTGACCCCACAGCCCCTCGGTCTGTGTCATTGTGATACCGATAGTGAGGCCTTGAATGGAGCCAATCAGGATTGAAAAGACTGGACTCAGACCATCAAATAAAGGCTCACAGCATCTGTCTTTCACCACAGACTGATTACTGGCCGCGTGTGTGCACATACATGCATGTGCAGACAGGAGGATATAATGAGGTACCATTATGTATTATTGATGTGCTTCCCCGGCTGCCTACCTGCTGTCAGGTGGGCTGGCTCATGCATGCTTTGGTCTGGTCTGGTCTGGTCTGGTCTGGTTGGTGGGCTTCCAGAAGGTTTGGAAAAAGCTGGTGTTCAAGATGATAACTGATTACACAAAACATTCAATTTGTCAGATATCGATCTGTTAATTTGTGACTTTTAAATTCTTAAAATTCGTTTTCATTGAAAGGTTGAAAGGTTCAGTTTTACTTTTTATTATGGTGAGAGGTTAAAAAGGGCACCAATTAAAAATGGTAAATGGCCTGCATTTATATAGCGCTTTACTCAGTCCCTAAGGACCCCAAAGTGCTTTACACTACATTCAGTCATTCACCCATTCACACACACATTCACACACTGGCAATGGCAAGCTACGTTGTAGCCACAGCTGCCCTGGGGTGCACTGATGATATGATATAAAAATAGATGATATGAAACTAAACAGAGCTGCAATTGAATTTTATTTTTGTGCTATTTCTAAAGACAGCATGTCAGCCCAAAGTGGAGAAGTTCCCCCAAGTGCAGATAATGTTTCCTCTTTATAGGAAAAATAAAAAGAAGACTTTTCCTGACCAAACCAGGAACGCTTGCAAAACTTCTTCCCACTTCACAAACTGCTGCGGAGTGTCAAGGTTTCAAAGAGGTCTTCCTCATATTTCACGGTACTAACAGTGATTTGAGTAGCACAGCTTTTCTGCTTCATGTGAAAGTAATTCATTCATTCAACAGCCAGCTCCAAAAAAAAGGACTTTATTTCAGTGAGCTGTGTTTGGCAATCCACAGAAGAAAAAAAACAACAAATACCACGTTATTGTAGCGCAGCTCTAATACGCTGCTTCAGGTCTTGTTTTTTTTAAAGCATAAACTGCATATAAAAGATAGATGTAGCCACCGTGACCCCACCTGTTGGTTTATGAAGCAATTCAGCTCAGCGTCTTCGGTTTTTTTTGGAGACAAAAGTGACCATATTTGGACAAGAGTGAGATCAGTTAGCAAGCTACATTCACCAACACAGTTAACTTTTAATTAGTGCTAATAATAGAGCTAGCTATTTCCAAAAATATTTATTTCTTACCAGGCTCTGAACATGTTTACTTACTGGGAATTTATAGGGATAATGTTGCGCCATGTGGTTTAAGAGGTAGAGCAGGTCATCTGCTAATTGGAATTTTGGTGACCTGGCTTCTCCAGTCTGCATGTCAAAGAAGCCTTTTACAAGATACTGAAGTCTGAGTTGCTCCCAATGCATTCTTCAGATTGTGAATGTTAGATTAGATGTAGAAACAAGTATTTGCATGAATGCATGGGTGAATGTGACAAACTATAAACTACATACATGTATTATAAAGCATCTGAATGCTGCAATAGAGTATAAAGGCACTATATAAGAACCCCCCTCGTGAAAAACAGAGCAGCTGAAAGTAGCTTTTAACATGAGAATGTAAAGTGAGCGTCCACTGACCACTGGAGGAACTGCAGTTTCAGCGTCGAGTTCATACTGCGTAAAAACTACCGATCTGATAAGTTAAAATATCTTCTTTGAAAAGACTCTGTGCGGAAACATTTCTGCATCAGCATTTTCTTTTTTATGACTTGCTCATCCTACTTTTCTCTCGCCCGGTGTTTTCTGTGAATAGAAATTCCCAGAGCTCAAGTTCAAGTATGTGGAGGAGGACCAGCCAGAGGACTTCTTCATCCCCTACGTGTGGTCGCTGGTCTTCAACTCTGGAGTCGGCCTCCACTGGAGCCCACACGGGATCGAGCTGTTCAGCATGGACTCCGGCTGAAGGACACGTTGCAGCAGATTGCGCGTCTCCATCTCCGTTCAGTACAGAAAAAGGAACTGACGGCACGTGGGTGTGGGTGTGTGTGGGTGGGTGTGTGTGTGTGTGTGTGTGTGTGTTCTGGGTAGGTGTGTATGCATTACCCTTTATAGTATGTTCACGCTGCTTTGAAAGTGCCTCAACCTTGTAGAGGATGGTGTTTCTTTTTCATGCAGCACAACCTCGTTCTCCCAATAGGTCACTTAAAACATGCAGACACGTGTTACACTGCTCTGATGAACATCCATTTACTTCTGCACTGAATACTAAAAACCTGCTGTGACTCAACACCTGCCACTCATCTTCAAATGTCCTATTATTGTTGATTTTACACGCGATTATCTCATAAACTGTTTTTCTTTTCTTTTGGCGTACATTGTTCTCAGTGTACAACAGCTTTTGACACATTTGCGCTTTTGAATTGAAGAAATGAAGAGAGAGAAAACTCTGTTGTCATCATCAGTATGCAGGAGTTACAGTGTTGCCGGCTGTTTAATATCCCTCCCCACCCCCCACGTTCAAGTACAGCTTAATTAAATTTCAGTCCCCGGATGATATAAGCACTCTGCATCACTCTTTAATTCGTCTGATTTCGTTGTTGCTTGCAGCTCATTTATTCCATACCCTGTTTTTGTCATTAGCATTTTTTTCCTGATGCTAACCCAAGGCAAATACTTAAACCGGGGACGGCCATTAAACCTCCTGTCCTGTTGTGCATAATTACCGTTGTCTCCTTAACCGGTTACATTATTTCATGTTTAAGTAGGGACTTATTGTTATTTATTTTCATGTATATTGTTTTTATATATATTCACCATCCCAAAATGTAAAGTGCAGTAGTGCTGAAATGACTACTATTACCGAAAGAGAAAAGCAATGGTACTATACTTTGATTATTCCCAGACGGGAAAACTGGCTTTATATATAAATGCATATAATATGATGACAGCTGTCCTTTTTGTGGCAATGTTTACCTTGAAAATAGAAGTTTAAATAAAAATATGAAATCAAACCAGCCTGAGTGTCACGCTGTTATTTAGCAGTGAAATACTGCAGCATTCATGTGACGTTTATCACGTTTGTCTTAATTGTTTTAAGGTTATGCAACTTTGGACTGAAAGCCTTGTTTATGACTCTGTCAGCCTGACAAATGTAAAGTGTTTATCGACCACAAGCTGAGCAGCCTGTCTTGATTTTTATCGAGTGGATTGAAATGTCCTCCGGCCTTGCCCAGTTGCACAATGCTTTATGGCTCAGTTGCATTGGGATAAAAATATGACAGCAACCATCCAAACAATCCTGGTTTGATTTGGGCTGATTCCAATCGCTCTCAGACAGATTAGCGAAGGTTTGCAAATAATTGATGAACGTTGATGACACATTAGCCAATCAGTCTGCAATCAAACAATCTGAGTCGGTCTGCATCAGTAAGTGTGCAACGGGGAGCTTCGCTTAATTGGTTGGCCTCTGGTTGTATTCAGCGAATTGTCATATCATCACAAACAGAACGCGTGCGATTGCCGGCTTCACCCTATTCCGATCGAACACTGCTCTCATAACACCTGCGAAACCACTATAATGGTATTTCTGCACTTCAGTGTTAAATTAAAATTACTTTTTCAGAACACACACATCTTCAGTGACTGACTCGGGGCGGGTGGGACAAATCCCACCCCCCCCAAAAAAACAGATGAATAGGAGAAAATGTCAGACTGAAGATGGAAACGAAGTCTGAGGAGGTGTAATTTCTTTTGATATCAGAGTGACCTTTTAAGCATTGTAGAAAGAAGGATTAGAAAAAGATGTGTGAAGCCTGTGTGCGCAAGATTTAGATTTCTTTTTCTAAGACCTCTTAGATTTCTCTTGATACCCAGTGGCTGGCCTTTTCTCTCAGTTATATTGACCTAAGTTATTAAAATATTTACCAAGGTTGCTGCTTCATACCTTCAATGATAAATATATATCTGTGTGTGTGTGTGTGTGTGTTTAGCCTTGGATTTCATTGCTGCTTGCCCGGCACATTTCAGCCACAGTCTTCTCTTGCATCTTTGCGGCACAAAAGAAAGATCATCCTGAAGACTGGACTGTTACACTATGAGCAGACTTTACCGTGTGTCTTATTTTCGCCTGTTTTTATCATCGCTGCTAAAGCAGCAGAAACAGAGGCGGAAAACCACGTCGGGAGTCAGGCGAGGGGGGGGGGGTGCAAAAGTTTACGGCACAATGGCACCCACTGTGTCGCTGGAGCTCCCACTTCCCAAGAGAATTTCATGCCTTTCGTCTCTATTGTATTGGTTTTCATGCCTGAAATTCTCTTGTTCTCAGGGACAATATAATGGATGCAATTCGATGTAAAGAATGGCTCATTTTCAGGACGGGTTCATTGGTAGGTTACAATGAAACTGCACGCTCAAGGAGACTGAAGCCCTCTCCCTCTGCACTGACTCTCACCTGCCTCCAGCTCTATTATCTCTGTGCCAGATGGTTGAGCGGAGGTTTTTTTACAAAGTGACATGGCTCCCCTTGTTCCTTTATGGCGCAGGGGTCACCTTACCCTCGGATCCCATTTCAGGTGACAGCAGGAAGATGGATGGAGCCAGGGATTTGGGGATGTATAGTTTTGTTGTTGTTGTTGTTGTTGTTTGTGTGTGTGCATCTTTTTTTTTTCTCCCCAGATGTTGGTACTTTTCCTCAAGGTTTAGGTGAGATCATGTTGACTACCCAGTGGAGTGTGCTTCTAGAACCATCGGTTATCACCAAACCACAGTTTACACCAGTGAGATACATTGTCACAATAACGTCGCTGGCTCACTCTTCGCTCTCGTTGACACGTAAAAATAAACCACCAAAGCTTGGTTGGAATTAAAGCATTGCATCTGTGGGCCGGCCCACAAGTGGAAAATATCAGTGAGATATAAAGATGAGACAGGCGTATTATCATGATCTTGATGTCTGCATCAGTTAACCTCGTTTTTGTGAGCACGGAAGGTTTGGAGGAAGTCAACAAGCCCTGACCAGCTGGCCTTGAGAAACTTCTCTTAGTTTTTTTCCTTTAATCATACCTTACACTGAAAGTGTTTTCTGTTTTTCATCTTATAAATTACATGACTTAATTTGTACAAGTCACCAGTCATCAGTCTATTTATGCAAAGTCATAAAGTAAGTAACGCTGTTCCCAAGACACTTTCCAGACAGTGTTGCGTGGTGTATCAAAATCTCATGGTGCTTTTTATGTGTCGATAAGTCATAATACAGCTTTGATGAGATCCTAACATCACCAGCGGAAATGCAACCCCAAACTGTGATATAGTACCTCCACTGTGTTTTACAGATGGCTGCAGACGCATACTTCTCTCGAGACAACCTTAATACATACTGATGACGACATGACCCAAAAATTTCAAACTCTGATTCATCACTTCATCAGACCTGTTGGCACTGATTTTCAGTCCAGTTCTTGTGTAGTTTGGGCTACCTCAGCCTTTTCTACCTTTTCCCCCCCTTCCTTAAGAATGGCTCCTTGACTGGCAGCCTCCTACTGAGACCACTTCTGATGAGACTTTAGCAAATATTAGATGGCTCAACTGACGGGGCAGATCCATCTCTCAGTCCTGTGTCAGATCCCTTGAATAGGACATGAAATTTTAATCTTGCTGTATTTCTTTTTTTTTTTTTTTTTTTTTACCATTTTTTTAAGGAAATCGCCTTCAGATTCTGTTTATCTGATGTATATGTTTTTTTTAGGACTCCCACTTCTTCTTTAATCCTCAATTAGTTCTGTTTTTTTTAATATATTTTTTAAGATTGCCAAATTTTCTATAATAGATATTTGCAAATCACCTTGTTGGTGCAAAAATATTATTTTATGCCTGGCAAACTGTGTTAATAAAGTGCATAACGATGTTATGCACGATGTGTAGACATAAAACTGATTCACCGCTTTACTTTTGTGTCTTTTTGTTTGTTTAAATGATTCATATGTCATTGTTAACAGTCTGTCAAATTCAAGGACTAAACTGAAAATAGGTGATAAAGCAGCAAATGTCCAAAGCAAAACTCAGAAAGACCTGCAGAAAGTCCGGAGAACTATTAGTCAAGTCTTTTAAGAGAACATAGAGGAAAACACAAGTCACTGAAAATTCAGTTGGTTAAAAGGAGTCTGGCTCATCAGACACAAACTATAAAGAAATGAGGGGTAGCTCAAGGCTTTTGTGCAGTCTTGTTTTTGTGATTGCAGGATGAAGAACAATAACTGGAGGTGACGATGATAAAGAACTATAGAAGAAATAGAATTTAATAAGCTCTATATATTGAACATTTAGTGTATGTAATGCCACAACATTCTCTATAAACCTCTGTGATCCCTTCAGGAATGATTGTAATCATTTTAGTTATTCTGTTTTATCAAATTTTATCATTAGCTCTGGTTTTTTTAGCCGCTTCTGTTAGCATGTTAACGTTAGCCTGGAGAGCATGCTAACGTTCTGCCTACTCAAGGAAACTGTAACATTTTTCTTTTCTAGCATTTCTATATGAATACCGTCTTCTTTTTTTTCTAAAGTTAAAACTGTGGTTGGACCATGTCCTTCGTGAAAAGCTGACATTTCTTTGCAGAGTTGTCTTTCTGATACAAAACATTAGCACCTCACTAGATTTCAGTAGCTATAGCAGATGATGTATGCAGATTTAAGGCCATATTTTCCATGAAGCACAATGGGGAAATCAATGTTCAGCAGTGGTAGCCCACTACCAGCACACTAGCAGCTTTGGACAGCTCGTCTACCTGCAGTGAGCGTCTGTTGTCAGATGGCCCATGTGATAGTATATGTGACATAACCCGGTCTGTGGCCTACTCAAATTTGCGCTGCTGTTGGTCCATTAACCAGCTGCGAAAGCCACTCTCTGTATCTTTCATGCTGTATTCTTGGGTCTTTAATGTTTTGGGGGGTTTTTTGTGCTTGGCTCCACTGTTGCTCTCTTCTCATTAGTGTGCCAGTCTGCATTCAGCCAACTCACAGCATCATACACATCAAGCAACGTGCAGTTGGGATTCTGCATGGGAACATTTTCATTGGTTGAAAGCCCCTTTCTATTGTAGGTAAATACCTCTGCAAGCAGGCACAAATGCGGTGCTATGAATTAAGCATAAGTGGGCGATACCATGTAGCTTCTGTGAAAGACTCATCCCCCACAAACAGTTCGTCCATAAACATCACGCAATTACTTCAAGGGACAAAAAACACTGACTGGCATCAGTATCACAATTGAGCCAGGGCACTCTTCCATGTAGGACAGTTAAATGCATGGAGTTTCATGCCAGTGGCCTTTAAAGAGAACTAGGTCACTGAGGCCTCCAGCTTTAACATGACAAAGATGTAATCCCTTAACCCAAACCAGACTAAAGAAATCTGAAAGTATATGCTCTCTGTGAGAGGTTTATCAAACAACACCTTACAAATTAGTTCATCTCATACTGAAAAGACCAAAGCCCGTTGGACAAGAGAAAATGCTTCCTAAATGAAAACGTGAATCTTATATAACATCTATAATAACTCTTTGAGATTCAGTGCACTTTGCACGTGTAATTGGGTGTAAAATAACATTGTTGCATCTCAATGTGTCAGGCTCACTTTGATCCAACTTAAAAGTCTGGATTGATTAAAAGTTATTGATATTGAATTGAGGGGTTTCTTTGTGTTGACTGACCACTGGCTGCAGGGCACGAGCTACATACTGAGCAACTTTCAGCTAAAGATGAAGTTCTGAACTTTCACGCCAGTCCTCAGGTTTTACCCAACATTAACTTAACAGACTGATATAACAATGCATCAAGGTGAATTAGTGCTGTGCGATACTGCACACCACCAATTTTGGTATTTATCCCATACCAAGTAAATACAGGGCCAGAATTACCAATACCAATACCGATACCAATACTTTTAACCTATAAAGTTAGCTTATGTAGGGGAGAGCAGCGTCTCATGATTTTTGAGATTTTCAAACTGAATTTTTTTGTGGATCAAGAATTAAAAATGTGCCTGTACCTAAAGCTCTTTGTCAACTTCTGTTGTTTAAATGTGCTACAGGCTATAAATCTACTAGACCTGGCAGGTGACACAAAAAGATTAAGTTTTTTCATTTCCAAAAGGATAAGAATTTATTTAACACTATTCAGTGGGTTACATACTGAATTTTGAGGATAGAAAATATTGATCCTATTGTGCTAGTATCGATCCGATACCGATACCAGCGCTGGTATCGATATTAGCAATATTTGGATTGCTCTAGAAGTAATACTTTTAATCATTTTAGCCAAAACTGAAGATCACAACCTTTATGAAGGTAAAATTTATCGCCAGGCTGTTGCATTAGACTGTTTGACATTTTTACCGCAGGAGAGTAACTCACTCATTGAACATTCAGTTGGCTAAAAGGAGTCTGGGGCAGGTTGGTAGGTCTGTAGCTAACATTAGCATTCTGGGATAAAATGTGGGTCATACCGCATGTCTGAGGACAAGACTGAAGCTTTCTCTCATTCATTATAGAGCAAACCCCACTGGACATGCTGATAATGGTACATTTTTTCTCAACACACGATGAATAAGTTTTTTTCCTCCTTTTTTTATGCTTTTTCACAGCATGATTTTTTTTTTTTTTTTTTTTAAAGAGGCTGCGTCATTTACAAGTGTGGGTGTTTTCAATCCTTCCTGTTGTGACATCGGATGTGCAAGTTGTGAATTTTTTAAGTTTTCTCTTATCTATTTAATTAAAGTTGCCTTATTTCTATCATTCTTATCTCACCAGCGACTGGCTGCCTGCCTGCATGCAGTCTTCACCCTATTCTTAACATTCTCATTCACACATAATAAGCCTGTTTAATTGCATATGTGTGACCCCCACTCGTCTGAAACCAGTCACTGTGTCAATAAATTATAGTGAAGGCTAGGGCTGCTGTCTAGAATATTAATCATCCCTCTTGCTGTGTAATGCTGTTTTAGCCGACTGCACGCCCTCATTTGAATCACCTCTGCAGGGTCACTTGATTGAGCTTAACGAGGCTGTTAAAGCAACAGCTCAGCAGCTTTTAGAAATACATTTATTCACTTTTTGTTGAGACTTAGATGAGCAAGACTGCTGTATATATGCCTTATGAATACATAAGGCTAAAGCTAGAAGCTAGCTCAGCACAAAGACTGTGAAGGGGGGGCATGAAACTAACCCTGCTGTAGCCTTAGGATGTGAGAACATTAGCACCACACTCCAGTTGTCAACCAGAAAGCACTTCCAGCTCCATTTTTGCTCTTGGACTCTGCTGGAGTAGCTTTTGCCCAGTTCAGAATAATAATTCATTTTATACTGGATGCTGGTACAGCCCCCTGGGTCATCTACGTTCTGAAATGAGCAGTTTTAATTCCTTTCTCTTTAAGCCAGCTTTCTCCTGATTGGCTGCCCCCTGCAAACAAAGGGTTTGAACACCAGGTGGATGGGACTGCTGCGCTAAAAGCTAGAGCTGTAATGATGAGATAAAATATCAGGGATATGAGCTCTTATCGGAATTGGTTTTAACAAATGACCTCATTTTTTAAAACTTTGCCATGCACCATTTGAACAGTGTGACAGAAAGTCAGAATGGAGAAGAAATGTGTTTTCAGTGTCTTTGAACGTGGCATTGTTGTTGGTGCCAGACAGGCTGGTCTGAGTATTTCAGAAACTGATGATCTACTGGGAATTTCATTGGAAATTTCAAGAGAAAATAACAAATGAGCAACAGGATAATGGGCAAACTAATTAAACTCATAGGAAGGCAACAGTGACTCAAATAAGCAGAAGTATGCATAAGTTATGCAGAAGAGTATCTCTGGAATCACAAAGCTTCGAATTTTGAAGCAGATGGGTTAGAGCAGCAGAAGACCACACCGGCTGCCACTCCTGTAGGCCAAGAACAGGAAACTGAGCCTACAGTTCACATGGAGTCACTGTACAAATCACCTTACACTGGTTTGTTGAACAAGTCAGCGAGTTCACTGTACTCAGATGGCCTCCACAAACACCAAATCTCAATCCAATAGAGCAGCTTTGGGATGTGGTTTCACATCGTGGATGTGCAGCCAACAAGTCTGTAGCAACTGTGTGATGCTATCATATCAGTATAAACCAAACTCCTAGAGGAATATTGCCAGCATCTTGTTGAATCTGTTGTACGAAGAATAAAAACAGTTCTGAAAGCAAAAAGGAGTCCAAAGTGGTTCTATCAGTATGTACAGAGTCCAGTGAGTGCATGTCGTTTTAATGGCTGTACTGTCATACTGTCAAAATCCAATAAAAAAGACCTTGACCTGCTAGTTGGGTGGGGGTGGGGGGGTAGGTTCCACAAATATAGTGTTCGCAACACCAAATTACAGGACTCCACCAAGCATGTAAATACACCATCAGTATTTACTTCAGTTATTGTCATGTCAGGTGTGGTTTAAAAATACATGAAAACGTTATCACGCAGGGAGGGAAAAAATATTAATGAATCCTTGTCCTGCACCTTATTGCAGACAGACTGAATCCAGACTGAAATGGAAACTGGTTAGATAAAATTGGCTACTTCCTGGAGTCTGGGGAATAGTCAGTAACACACACAAAAGGAAGGGCAGGGAGAAGTGGAGAGGGAGAGAGGGGGAGAGGGGAGGGAACAACGTGCGTCTGCAGCGACTTCCACAATACCTCTGACAGACCCTTTCCCCTGACTGATTGCTTCCAGACTTCTTTAACAACAAAAAAAGAGGCGCAGTCCCCTGTGTTGTTTGGGCTGTTGAGTCTCCTCCTGCTCGGCGCCAGTGGGTGATCCTGGGACAATGCGGGTAGCCCGACCCCCATCCATCGACCACAATGCACACCTCTGCCCCCCCCCAGCCCCGCACATCTCTGCAATCATCATTATCAGACACCCCTCCCATCTGCCCCCGGGAGCACCCCTGTCACCTCCTCTGGACTTGTCTCTGTGGAGGTAAACACATTAAGCCATGTAGGTGACACACACACACACATACATGCATATTATTCATGCGCACATTGCAAAGGGTTTGGTACATGCTAGGAGATCCTATCTGAGGGCCTCGGACACTTTGGGTTCAAAGTGCGAATCATTTATTTATTTATTTGAATAAAAAGTGAGTTTATTGAGAGAACAGATCATGTATATGTGCGTATAGAGATAAATAAGCTGTCACACTTAAATGACGTTGTTTGTGTTTTGTCTCTTCAGCGACACACAATACGGCAAAACAGATCGAAACGGTAAGAATCAAACCGCTGCGCCTGTCATAATAAATATGGATTCGGCCGATAATAAAGACAGCAGTCATGTGGGCACATCCCATCTGTTGTCAGGCAAGTCGGGAAAGTGATGGGCAAGAGCGCTGGATGAATAAAAGAGGGTGGAAACCGCCGTGTTGATGATTAAAAGGCAGAAAACTGGTGATGCTCGTCCCACCTGGAAACCAAACGTCCAGAGGGCGGCAGCAGCGCGCTCCCGTCTGACTTGGGACATACTGGCCTCTCTCTCTCTCTCTCTCTCTCTCTCTCTCTCTCTCTCTCCTTGTGTTAAGTCTTTCAGGCACATTTTTTATACGTTAAAAAAAATCCCTAATCCGAACCAGCTCCATCTACGACCCGACATATCCGGTGAGTGGTTGAAGTGTCGCCCTTGGGACTATCCCACGCAGCCCCCTCCCAAGCCAAACCATCCTGAGTAATCATGATGACAAATGCACAAATGTTATATTACCAGAAGAAAAAGGTGGAAATCAGAGTGTTTCTAGCTTAAATGACACACACGCACACATCAGCAACAGAGCTGCTTTAATATGAAGCCAGTGTTAGTAAAGCTGAGATAACAGAGCTATTAGACGTGGTTGGAGCTCGAAAAGGACATTTGAGTTTACAATCATCAAGTAAACTTAAAAAAAAAACGTTTATATGACACTAAGGGGCCAAATTTACGTCACTATCGCTCTGTCAATTATTCAGCATTAAACAGTGACGAGAGAAATTTCTTGTAAGACTTTATATCATGTCACAGTTTCTCAACTTTACCCTTCTGGCAACTTTTTGCCCCCAAACTTTCCTCCTTTCAAAGGTTTTGTGTGTGTGTGTGTGTGTGTGTGTGTGAGTGCGCCGCAGGCTCTGCTTGATCTGTTGTTTGCGCAACACACAATCACATTTCTTTTAAGCGACAGGGTGTCTAGACACACACGTGACCGGGCGCGTCAATGCGCACTGGAGACTGGAGACGGAGCAAGGGCACCCAAACCATCCGCCTCATTTACAGACAGCCTCATACTCCCCCTCGAGATCGCAGTCGGCGGCTCGCTCTCTCTTCCACGGAAACTTCGCGTGAGATACGAGCTTGGGATTATTTTAACGCTCAGAAAAAAAGAAAAAGGTTCGCCTGTGTGTTGAAACAGGTCGAAACGCTCGGCTGCTGGACGAGTGTTCTCTCTCTCTCCGGGCTTTAGAAACGCAACTCAACTTGGGTGAGAGATTCAGACCTGGATTTTTGCTCCCTGGCTCATCTCAACCCGGGCAGACCACATCCTCTGCAGACGATTGGCATATTTGGACGATAGCGGATAAACAAACAAATAAATAAATAAAGCCTCCGCATGCCCGGTGGAGAACCGCACTCTGTGCAGTTTGGATCACGGATTTTTGTGGATTAATGCTCTTGAAGACACACGGCAGCGAGCTTCGGTTTTCATGGGATAATTGCCATAACATTTTAGGCTTAATTAGGCCCCACGTTCTGTAATTTCCATTAAAGCTACTGCGAACTGGCAGAAAGCTTTTTTCGTTCTTTTTTTCTAAGGCAGTGTTTATTTGCTGAAAAAGCTGCCTGGAGAATTTTTAAGGGGTCAGCTCACTGCTCTGAGTTGCACATCACCAAGTGAAAATTGTAACACATTTAGGCTCTGCGCAGCAGGGTTGCTCCCCCATTCGCTTTAACGATCACATTCTGCTAGGTTTTCGTCATCAGACACAAGTCTTAAATTCCCGAAGGTGATGGTGACTTATCCCCGGAGGAAAAGTTAACTGTCCCGTGAACCCTGTCTGCTTTTTTTGGTGATCTGGTTTGCAGAAGACGGCGAAAGAGACTGGCGTATGCTACAGATTTCCTCTGCTTGTCCAGACCACAGTTTTTCCACCGTCTTTTCTCAGGCTGCTTATCACCGCCTGGACTCGGATCCCGGAATCTTCATGATTTGCGGACACAATGCTCGTTTTTTAGCCGGGAAACCCTCTTTTCGTCCCGCATGTTTAGGACCAAACGATCGGGGCTCGTCCGGCGACTCTGGAGGAGCCGTGCGCCCGTGGAGGGCGACGGGGAAACGGATAGAGGGACGCATGGCTCCGGGGGCTGCTGCATGGGCAAAACGACAAAGGTGGCCAAGTCCAACGCAGGGTCGGAGGCTGAATTGAAGGCGTTGACCCACTCGATACTGAAAAAGATCAAAGAGAAACAATTGGAGGTGCTTTTGCAGGCAGTGGAGTCCAAAGGGGGTGCCCGCAGCCCCTGCTTGCTCCTGTCCAGCAAAGTGGACGCCAAAGTGGGTCAACAGTCTTACTCTCTCCCCATGCTGCTCTACAAAGTGTTCAGGTGGCCGGACCTCAGGCATTCCTCGGAGTTGAAGAGGCTGTCTTGCTGTGAATCCTACGGGAAAATCAACCCAGAGCTTGTTTGCTGCAATCCCCACCACATGAGCAGGCTCTGTGAACTCGGTGAGTTGGATTTTTATGAAAATAGACACGTTTGTTTATTTATCTGTTTATTGGCAGCAAGTATTTTGAATTCTCTGGCCTTATTTCAGAGCAAGTTCAAGTTCAGATGCTGTGACATCATGTCAGAATTACCTAAAGAGCTAATTAGCCTAATTCAAATGACATCACCTCTGTTGGCACAGTTGTGTTGAGTTTCCATAAGGTCAAACTAGCGTGCTGAGACCCCCCCCCAACACCTTCCCATCTTTTCGGAAGTGTGGCGCCATTAAATCCGAGTTTGGCATGTCATTTGACTAAAATAATAATTGATTGATTGGCCGTGTTGTAAAAACGGTAACATGTATCCTAACGTATCCAAACATAAAGAACATGCTTTATTTTATTTTTGGCACTTCAAATATGCGCTTTCCAAACAACAACAAAGCCTTTCTGCTATTTAAACCTTTCATAGATGGCATTTCCGAAGTGCACAGGGCTTTACAGTCTTCCAGTCTTTCCACGGTGAAGTTTTTCCAGGGTCTCTGTGTGTATGGGCGTGCACGCGCTCGCTCGATTGAGTGCACGCGTTTGCTTGGCGTCCCGGGCCAAAAGAGGCCCGTATCTCAGTTTGTCCTAGACGCTGATAGTGGCCCTTCTGGCGCCAGGCGGCCCCCCCCTGTTTATCTGCCTGCCAATGAAAGGCAATAGCCGCCCAGCCGGCCTCTCAGCCTGCCTCTCCAGGCGGAGCTGACAGACACAAATCTTTCCCCCCTGAAAAATGACAAATCTTATCATAAAGTTTCGATCTCTCCCTTGTTTTCCCTTTTTTTTCTCCTCATGTACTCATTTTTTTTCTCCATACAGAGTCTCCTCCTCCACCATATTCCCGCTATCCCATGGACTATCTTAAACCACCAGGTGAGCTTGCTATTCATGCATAAATATATGCATTCATGTTATTGCCAGAAGCGCATTTGTTTTTGCATAACATTTCCATCTAAAAGGCTATGTTGCATTTATGAATGTTTGTGTTGTATGTGCCTCTCCAGTGCATGTGTGTGTGTAGGAAATGGCTCCATGTTATGTTGTGATTTATGATAGCAGTGGAGTGGCACGTCTGGCTGACTGGCTAGCCATTTCCAGCATGGCTGACAGCCAGGGCAAGGCAGTACAAAGTTGAGACACCAGCTATAGACTGACTGACTGGCACATCACCGGGGGCAGCCTGTGTGTTCCTGTGTGTGTGTGTGTGTGTGTGTGTGTGTGTGTGTGTGTGTGTGTGCGGCTAAAGGGGGGGGTTGTTTGTGTGCTCGTCTATCTCTTGTGAATCGCAGCGCAGGGAGAAACAGACAGACAGCGGCGTCTCTGGAGCCAGCCAGTCTTTATCAGCTGAATTAATCAACAGAATGAGGGTGAGGGCTTGTGTGTCTCTAGTGTGTGTCTGTGTGTGTATAGCTGGGGGTGTCACTGTCCCCATTTCCCGGTTTGATGTCTTGCAGAACAGAAGAGAGGCTTTGTTGTAATTTCTTCCACATCTAAAGCGTAACTGTTGCAACCGTGTTAATTGTGCACTTCGCTCCACACATGGCTTCTGCTGTCATTCTCTTCCTCTGTTCAGGAAAGTGGCATCAAGTTATGTCAAACAAGGCAAAGTCAGTTTTCAGTGTGTTAAACTTCACACTGTAGCTAGAATAGTGTGAGATCTACATAATTTCCCATCCCGTCCTCTGTGCTTTGTGTTGTTTTTTTGCTCGTTTGCTCATCATCTTGCTGTCTACAAGTGCAGGAGTTAAACAATGACCAGTTAGGCGACCAGCCAGCCAGTTAGTCAGGAGAAGAGGAGAAAGTGGCTTTGAGTGAGTGGAAACAATAGGAAGTCATTGCAGCTGCAGCTGCGGTTCTTCAAAGCCCCCCTCCTCCTTCCCTCCGTCTTTGTCATCACCTCTTTAGCAGTGATGTTGTCCTTAAAGAGCGTTTTTCAAAAAGTTAAATATAAGTAGGGTTGATCTAAAGTGTTGGAAAGAAAAAAACAAAACAAAACAAAAAAGCCGCAGCTCAGTCCTCAGTGCTTAACACTCAGCTGATGTGAAGTCTGCCCTGTGGAGTTGCAGTGGCGTCTCCGTACGAGTTCAGTTGGAGACTTTACCCTGATGAAAGGAAACAAGAATGTAAATAGGAAAAGAAGGCTGGATACACACAAAGGAAATGATTATACAACTCATACCAGCCTGAATGGGAATTAAATCCCCCCCCCCCCCCAAAAAAAAAAAAAAAAACAGAAAAGAAAAACCCACAGAAAGTGTGTGCGTGCAAGCAGATGTGTCAGTTTCACGCCTCTGCGGAGCGTACCTGCTGCTCTCTTTCCTCGTTCGGTTGCGTTAAGCCCGCGTAGCTGCGGTTGTGGTTACTTGGAGACGACCCGTGTCTGTCTGCGCGTCTCCTTATTGGCAGAGTAGGTGAAAGAAGTATTAATAAAACACTGCAGCGTGGTGGAGAGTGCACACACACACTTGTATGCACACGGGACAAATAAGCTTATCATGCAAAAAAGTAAAAACAAAAAAAAGCCAGGGGTTTTTCCCTACCGCCTCAGGGAACTGTCAGTCATCAGCTGGTTCATGTATCTGGACGTTATTACAGTTTTCTGTAGAATTCTCTGTGTGTTTGGTTTATCTGAGGATGTGGTAAATCCTCATGACATTCAGAGAAATCTGCATGGAGGGCGATTGGACGTTGCTAAATAATTTGCACGGAGCGGAAGGGCCATGAATTTTATGATGATGGTTTTATGATTCCAGCAAGCAGGAAGTGGGTGGGTGGGTTGGGGGGGGGGGGGGGGGGGGGTATGCGTGTCATGGTGCCTGCCCACTCCAGCAGTGGCGGTCAATATGAAAGTAGGCCAGACATAAAACGCTACCTTGTTTCAGCTCTCGGGAATATAAATCACACACTGTTTAGTTCCTTCTCTCTGATGCCCCCCCACCTCAGCCCTGTGGTCAGCTGTGAACTGTTGCCCGGGAGACCAGGGCAAGGCCATTGGTAGCCGGTGAAAGCGAGGCAGGCTCGGGTTATGCCCGTGCATCTCGTTACCGTGACCGCAGCAGCATGGGCTGCGTTTGGACGGGCCGGGGTGGGAAGGGAGCAGTGAAACCGCTCTGGTTGGCTCTCTGTTAGCTGCTTTCAGCAGAAACACAATAGCACTCCTTGCCATACGTGGATTACTTCTGTAGGTGCAAATAAATATAACGCCTTTTGGCGCCTTGTTGAGCAGTCAGAGCGGGTGCTTTGGAGTTGGGAAAACTTCACTGACCTTACACTTCAGTGAGAGTGGCGCTGACCACCGCTCCATACTGTGGTGGTGAGCATTGTTGACGCAAAAGGAATATATCATTAATAAATCCCAAGCTACCAGCAGCAGTCTGCATTGGTCCTAGCCCTCGCCCAGCACATGCTGTGGTTTTGTTGAAGCTCCATTCAGGTGTCGTGTTGAAACTAGTCTACATTACAAGTCTTAGTGGGAGTTTAGCATTCAAATGCAAAGCGAAGGAGAGAGCGGGTCTAGTTTTCTCTCTATTGCGCGCATCTGCTGGTTCACCATGAAGAACATTTAGAATAAGCAACTTTTTTTGAGCCTTTTTTGAGCCCACTAAATGATTTCGAGGCTTGTTTTTGCATCTTTGACAGCTCTGTTTGCTTTTCGGCGTGAAGACTCCGATGTCGGTTTGACATTCAGATCTTTTACACAAGCCCGGTCTACTCAGACCCAGAGCGGTCGTGTAATGTTGGGTTATTGAGCGGGGTTTATCGTGCCCAGATTGAACCCTCCGCTCAGTCGTTAGCAGAAAGAATACACCTCTTTTCGGATCAGCAGCTCGTCTGTGCAGGGGAAGCCGGGCTAACGTTCCTCCTGAAGCAGTGGATTATGGGGGATTATCAGGGGTGTGAGAAGCGCTCCGCTGTAAGTCTCCTGTGCGTATGTGTGAGGGTGCGAGCTTCGTCGTCAGCATCTTCATTAGGCATTGATTTCACCAGAGTGATTGACGGCCTCGCAGCTGCTGCTGTGCTGTCTCCTCTCACTGCCATGTAAATGCACACACACTGATTCAAACTCTTCTTTCTCCATTAGATTCTCCAGACTCTGGACCTTCATCCAGTGAAACTGGAGGAACGACTTACTCGGCCCCTGTGGGGCTTTCAGGTAAATATTCCTACTATTACCCATTTTTCTGCTCTTTTTCTCCCAATCCATTCCACTTATGTCTTCCTTTTCCTCTTCTATTGATTCTTCCCAACAACCACACGTATTCCCTCCATACTTGCGATGATGGAGGCGGTGATTGTGGGGGCCCCTGCTTCCCCTCTGTAATAAAAAAAGCCGTTGAAGGAGGGCGGCGTATTTCTCCCACATCCACATAAATTCCTCCCTCCTGGCTCTTTGAACAACGCTCCACTCTTCTCCTTTTCCTTCCCCGTTCCCTCTCATCCCCTTTCCGTGTTGTGTTGTAATGGAAGACAAACACGCTCAAGCGTTGTTTGGAGAAGAATATGTTCTGTGTGTGTGGTATTGAGGGAGGAAAAATGTGAGCAAAAAAAGCTGGCTTCGACAGACATGAGTGTTTGTTTGGGTGTGTTTGCGCGTACAGGGGACGTATTTGTTAGATCCTCCTCCGGGCTCTGTGGGGATAAGAGTGAGACACAGGCGTCTTTCTTTCTTCAACCTCCCTGGCAGGATGTATTTCGAGCTTCTTCGGCATTTCCCGCATAATCTCCCTCTGGCAGCGCCGCCTTCCCTGCCCGTTGCCCCCCATCCGCAGGCTCCAGACTAAGATGGGTGTTCGCGAGAGAGAAAGAGTTTGTTCGCCGCTTGCCTTGAGATTGCTCTGTGCTTTTCTCTGCTTTCCTTGGCCTCAGATGGTTCTCATTACCGGGCCTTTAAAGCCTGTTTTATGTCAGTTGGTGTTCGCTGCCCGTTCCAGCCCCCTCCTTTGTTTAGTGGTGGGGTTAGCCTGCTTGTCTGCCTGTGTGTGTGTTAGAGGAACAGAGAACCTAAAAATCAGTCTCTACTCTCCTCCGCCTCCTCTGCCAGACCATCAGATGGACACTAAAGTAGGCCCAGTGTGCATTAACTAAAGACACATTTTAGGCCCAGTTCAAGCGGTGAAACCCAAGAAGTGGAGTCTTAACAGGCCTCCTCGTACTCCCCTCCCTTTCTTTTTCCCCTCCCTCAGTGAAGTATACATGCCACCCCTCCTCCTACCCCTGTTTTCTTTCCTGGCGAGGGTGACATGGCAGCGTTTCAGTGAATGTGTCTCCTCAGTAAAAAGCATTAGAGGTAGAAAAGGCCAGGCGGGGTGGCTCCAGTGCTCTGCCCTCATGATTTCCCTGGCAAGCCAAGAAAAAAAATGGCTAATCCATTCGTCCTCTCACTCCCTCCCTTCCTTCATTCCCTGCTTCCCTCTTTGCTCCCTCCCTCTGGGGCTCTGACAAAAGAAACATGGCTCTCCCAGAGGCCCGCTGCTGACCTTCTAATTCACTCACTCTGCCCTTTTTATGTTCTTCTCCAGACATATTTACAGAGAGGGAGAGGAGGGCGGCTCTCAGGGAAGGAGAGTGGGAAAGACTTGGGAGTGAGCAAGAGCTGTGCCACTTCTTCTCTGCTTTGGCGTTATAATGCAGTAATTAAGTGTTCGTTGTCTGTAGGAGAAGGCTCAAGCTGTAGATCTAATGCGCAACTGCACCTGAGGCGAGAGCACAAGCTTGACCAAAGGACATCAGAGTCGGGAAAGAGGAGGCTCTTTCTCTGCAGGAAAAGCCATCCAGGCAGGAAGGAGTTAAGTGAGCTGTGACAGCGACAAGCGCAAATGCAAACTAGGCTGCCTGCCAGGCTACCAGCTCCAAAGCTCCTCTCGCTGGCTCACGTCATCAGCTTGAAACAGAGTAGAGAGGAGGGAAAAGGAGAGGAGGAGGGGTCGATGGCTGGAGGCCTGGAGCTGGGTGTTGGGGTGCTGATCTCTGTTTGAGCTGGGAGTGAGGGCTTGGATCAGGGGTTTGGATTGAACCAAGAACAGAAGACAGAGATCAAAAAGAGAGATTTTGAAATGGAGAGCAGGCCAGGGTTAAGAGGGTGCTGGACTCTGAGTTATGAATCTGTAGGGTGTTAAGTAACTCGTTAAAAGCCATATAGTGCATTCAGTTGAGTTTATGAGCAGATCAGGTAGCATTCACATTGCCAATCATTCATTTTGTTAAGTTTAAAGTGGCTTGCAATATGTTGTTGGTTGTGAGTTTTTGGATTCGTGACTTGTGAATTTGAAGATATGGAAGTCTGGATCAGACATTAACTGTCGGCTTTCTGCACTTTATTGTTAAAGCCTTCTTTAAAGTCAAGTTACCGGCCACCACTGTTGATGTTCCCACTCTCTGGGATGTATAGTGTTGTTTGTGTGTCGGTGGCATGCCTGTTGGTGCCATTGGGGACTGACCCGGAGTGCCTATGTGTAACAGGATCCTGTCTTGCTGTGGTGACATGTACGCATGCACACACGCACACACATACAGTTTTTCACACATACACACAGGCGGGCAGATAGAATGACTTGGTGTGAGCCCTGGCGCATGGCCGACTGTCACACAGGCGCTTCCTCCCAGTGCAGGTTAAATTTAGGTCCAGTTGTATTCTTATACCACCAACCAGTCACCTCACTCGACAGACAGTCGGCCAGCCCTGTAGTCAGTCAATTAGTCATCCAGTGAATCGGCTGGAGGTTTAACCTTCATCAGAGATTAAATTTAGTCCTGGCACCTTGGCTCATTAAATCAAACTAGTTCTGCTGTCATGCTGAAGGTCCCAGAGAAACGGCCCATTTTTGGTGCAAACCGAGGGCGAGATAAGGCCTGTATGTTTGGTATGAAGTATTAAATACCTAAGACGGCATCTTACTTTTTTTTTTTTTTTGCAAAAGAACCTCCAGCAATTAGGAGCTCAGCTCAGAAACAGAGCACCCTCAGTCTCCCTCAGCATTCCTGCCTTGTTTGGGTTAGCAGGGAGAGGAAAGGGCTGCGCAGGATATGACCTCATGTCTTTGAGGAAAAGGCGAGCGGACAGGGAGGCAGCTGAGGCCTCATCTTGACAGAAAACAAACAGTGGAGTGCACCGAAGGAGGGAGCGAGAGAGAGAGAGTAACTGAAAATTTGTTTTCCTTAAACCATGAGAGAAACGCGTGCGGCACCCATTACGGTAGAGCGAATTCGCACTTTTCTGACCGTAACAGGGTTTCTGTTTTGGTTGTACCTTCATTCCTTTTTGGTTAGATCTTCTTCTTCTTTTAAATTTCTCCTTTGCCTGAACAGTAAGAGGAAGGAATGGAGAGGGAAAGAAGATGGCGGCTTTGGGTGGAGAGGGAGAGAGGCAGAGAGAGAGGTGGCCGGCTCCTCGCTCTCTTCTCTGTAATTTTGGAGGCTGTGCGTTAGCCAACGAGTTGAGCCGAGCAGAGCTGGGCCGCCCCGTGCCGGGCCAGGATCTCTCATTACTCCCCACTTCCTCTCCTTGCGCGGCAGCCAAACCGCCTCTTGGCAAGGGACTTAATTTTGGTTTTGGCTGTCCTCTGTTCCCCACCCTGTGTCATTATGCTGCACAAATCGAAAAAACAGCGCACACAGACAGCAGAGGATAGAGAGGTGCGGGGTGGGGGGTGGAAAGAGAAGGGGAAGAAGAGGAAAGCGTGTCTAGTTTTTGCGAAGCTTCACACGCTCCCTGTCCTCTCGCAGCATCGCTTGCAGTTGAAAACATTTACCTACCTTTGCTGAGCCCGTTGATTGAAAAGAGGCCCATGCAGATTTGGCCATGAGCCAAAGCTGGAGGGAAGCCCAGAACAAGATGAACATTGTTTTGGTTTGCAGTCACTCTGTGGAAGTGGATTTTGACATTACCTCAATGTATGAAGATATGAATGAAGGAGGGAGGCGAGGGAAAGAAAGAGAGAGGCAGAGCGTGCGAAGTGGAAAGAGGAAGGAAGGGATAGAAGCCGTCTTTAACTGGATAAAAACAGGAATGGAAATAAGTGGAGACACATGCCTGTAAACCTGCGTGTGTGTGTGTGTGTGTGTGTGTGTGTGTGTGTGTGTGTGTGTGTGTGTGAAATTTCTAGTGTGACACAAAGTACTGCCGTCTCCACCCTCCCGCCTGCTCATTCATGTAGTCGGTTTGTCTTTTGTGTACTCAGAGTGGAGGGGTGTGTATTTGTCTCTCCCTCTCGCTCTGCCTCTCTTCATCTTGGTGACAGGCCCAAACCCCGTCGGTAGCCACATCTCTATCCTGAGCACTGGCACAACCACCCTCACCCACACACACAAAAGCGCACGCACATGCATGCTCGCTCGCAGACGCGTAGAGGTGTATGACGATTAATAACAGAGTAAGAATGCAACAAAAACCTCTGATCACATGCAACTGGCTCTGCTAGCTGTTTAGTTCCCACGGTGTGTTTTTTGGTTTTTCTGTGCCAATGCAGGTTATTGTCTGTCCATCTGTCTGTGTCTGTGTGTATAAATGGCTCCTGAGATACAGATCCTGCGGGTAATCTCTCGACCTGTGCGTTTGCAAAAAGTGAGCCAATGACATCACTGCAGTCTGCCTGGCACCTTGTAGCCAACTAGCTGGTGTTTATTTGTCCTGTCACCCTGGGAAATCTGGGCTGCAGGGAGTGGCTGTGTGTGTGTGTTGGGGTCAGCTTGATGAAGTGTTGGAATAATAACTCAGCAGGAGCAGGGAGGAGGTGTAACACGGAAACAAGGGTGTCCTTGAGTGGAAAAAAGTATTGTGCTGCAATTTAGTGATAATGTGGATCCAGATGGAAGCCGCCGGCCGCCCCGTTTCATTACGAAACGGCCCTGTGTTTTGTCACAAGCCGCGGAGAACACCACGCCTGAGCGACTTCAAGACATGCGGATCGTGTAATTACGGCAGGAACGTCCACTCAAGAGAAAATTATACCATAGATGGAGACATTTGGGGGGGGGGGGGACATGCAACATTTCTTCTCCTTATCTCTCTCCCCCCTCCGTTGTGGCTGGATGGTTCATGTTAGAGATGGCGTGTCTGCAACTCATTCTCTCTATCTGTGTTTCTGCAAGGAGTCAGATCTGGTGATAGCGAAACCGTGCCACTCCCCTTGGTGGTTTTCCTGCCATCGGGGCTTATTTATGTTTCCTGAACTAGGGGGCGGGGAGTAAGACTTTGCATCGTACCCAACCTGCCACTCTGAAGCACCACTTCCTCTGTCTGCTACTAAACCCACCGCCTTTCAGTTGTCTTCTTTTCTTTCTTTCTTTTTCTCCTACTCTGCCTTTTGGTGCATCATTTCTTCTTCTTCACTCTCAATTTGCAAATGGTGGCATTCGACAGACACAATGGGACACTTAAAGCAGTAAAAGTAGTTTCACTGCTTGATGCACGGTGAAGATGGCCGTATTAGTCATTTTTGCACATTTGCACCCCACCCCCATGCCACTTCTATAAATGGCTTATATCACTTGACGTAGCATCAGTGTGGACTTACCAAGAACTGTCAAGATGCATTGTGGGTAATGCAGGTGACTTGCAGGATTTTCATTTTCTCATCTTCTTTCGCGTTCTTTGTTTTTAGCTTGAGTTTGTATTCTTTGAAGAAACAGTGCAATTGAGTTGATAAATAACATAATTTAGCCCAAGTTAATGGCTTTTTTTTTGTTAATGGCTGCATGCTCTGCTGCACAACAAGTAATCAATCACAAACAAGTGTAGACTTGGTCGTTGTCTTTCAGCACTTGAGAAACACCAGCCAGACTGTATACTGTCTATAATCTGTGGTCTGTGCTAATGTGAGACAACGGTAACACGCAGAACAGCTGACATTTCTGTCGGGGGGGGGGTTCCATCTCGCTGCAGGGCAACCTGCTAGTGACAAATAAAAGCTGTTTCATTTCATTCTTGCGGTGAAAAAAGTGAGCTGATCAGCCAGTAGTAGTTGTGAGAAGGCGGAAAGTTTGCTGTTGATTACACTAAAATCAATGAGACTACATTTCTTTGTGAATACAGAGTGAGAAATGCCAGGCTTTCAGGCGCACACACACACAAACACACAGGGTTGAGCATATACGTCATGGCAGAGAGAGCAAAAGGAATGCCTCAAGGTTGACCCTTGACCTCTGGGATAGACTTTCCCCCTGCTTGAGAGAGGGTGTTGACTTGGAAAATAAGGCACCGTGAAGGGCCCTTTCCCCCACCCCAGTGGTGTTGTATCCTTTATGTCTTCCTCATTCCTGTTTTCAGCTGCACTCTGTGTGTGTGTGATGACGACAGGGTCATTACACGTCTGAGTTGAGACAAGCACAAACACACACACACACACATAGCTCTCAGGGATCGATGCGAGACGGTTCTCAGGAGCCTCCTCACTATTTGCAGATGTTGAAAGTATAGTTCAGAACAGAAGGTTGGAGGGTTTTTTGTGTGTGTGTCCATGATGGCGTCAATGTGTAATTCTGTGACAGTGCTGACTTCTATGAATAGAAACAACTTGGTGTGTGTGTGTGTGTGTGTGTGTGTGCGTGTGTGTGTGTGTGTGTGTGTGTGTGTGTGTGTGTGTGTGTGTGGAGTCAGACAGAGGTAATGATTAACCTTTGCAGACTGTGTAAGAGAAGCACCTAGTCTGCCACCCCCACTCCACCCCTCCTCCCTTCAAACTCAGTCCAAATGTCTCAGCTAGCGTGGCGTCCGCTCTTTAAGCCTGGGGACCATTAAAAGCCACAGGGGAGCTAACACCCTGACCATTTGCCAAATCTGCTATTATGTGCTAAAAATGCTGCTCTGCATGGGATGTTTATTTAACAACATGTATTTATAATTTCCTCATATGCTGCAGCAGACTTATCTCCAAGCTGATGGTGCATTAAATACCAAAAATGAAGAAAAAAAATACAGCTAGAAATATGCTGATTTGCTCATAACCAGTAGTCACGTTAGCCCATACATCCTGCAGCATCATTTTGGCATTCTTCTTAGTAAACTAGCATGAAAACTGTTTTTCTATTTGGGGATAGAGGGGTGGGGGGTTACATGTGGACCCCATGGGACAGAGCAGCAGACAGGGGCAGAACATAAAGGGCTGGGGTGACAGATGGCCTGAGGGTTGCTAGCTAGCCAGCTTATCTCCAGTGATGGAGTAGCCTGAAAGGACAGGGTGCAGACGAGCAGGTGGGGGTAGGCCGGGGCTAAGACTTGGACGGGCAGACGGATGCACAGACGAGAGAATAAGACAGCCTTCGGAGCATTTCAGAGACCGTATCTGATGGAAACACGCTAGGACAGGCGCTCTGACAGCACAGCTTCACACGCACCTACACCAGACGCACCTGAAATAGTGTCAGACGGTAACGCGAGGAGGCAGACTGGCAGACACCTCGCAAAAAATGTGTTAAAAATTGAAATCAGTTTAAATTGAGTCTCACCTCACGCTCAAAGCGCATCGATATGGGGGCCCACAGATAAAGAGTGTGTCTTTCACCTCTATTAATATATGTGTATGTGTCTGTTCATTTAATGTTCATCAGTATGAGGTGTAAGCTCATCTGCTGTCAGGACAACCTGCGAACATACTCTTCCTGAGGCGGCACCCTAAGGATCTTGGCTGGTTTCGGCTCTGCTGCTTTGGTGAACAGTGAAAGTTGGTGTTTGTTTACCTGCGAGGGCCATTTGAGCTGGATTATGAGTGGCATGCACTGTTTATTAGAGCTTGGATCAGGCCTTAACTTAACTGTCCAGCACGACGGCACTTGTAGTGTTCTTTTAAAAATACAGTGGTGCAGCTTTAAGCTATAAAAGGATTTGAATCCTACTTTCCGTGCTGCTTTGCTACCTGGCCTGTCTATTATAAGTTCCCTTTTCGTTTGTCTGCCTTGCGTACGTTTTATCCTTTCATCTCTTTTCTCCTCTGCGGTTCTCGCTTACCTGCAGTCTGAGCGAGCTTCTGAGAGGGGAGGATGACTAGGGAGATGGGGGAAGGAGAGGGTGGGGGTGAAAAGCAGTTAATGTAGTCCTGAATAGCAGGGTGTTTTCAGGCTGCAATGACAGGCTCAGACAGGCAGCCGCTCTAATGACCTCTGACGCCAGGCCCTGTCTCTCTCAGCAATAACAAACACACAAGGGCCCCACAGGTGAGCTCTGCCAGCAGGCCCGCTGTCAGCTGTTAAGAAAGTCCAGTCCACTCGGTCCTCTTTGCCCATCAGCCCCTGTACGTGCAAGACTGTGTGACACCGGCCTGAGATACAGATGACACTTTCTGTCTCTTATCTCAAAGATGAACCTTTCGTTTCCTCCAGTTTGGCCTGAGGTAGAGAGCTAGGTACTTAGTTTCCCCCAGCACCCCACGAGGATGGATTTACGATAAACTCCCCGAGGCTCGGCTCAGACCAACTTCAAAGAGCTCAGCCGCTCTTGTTTTATGGAAGGCATGCTCCTTTTTTTTTTGGTGCTCCCTTCTCTCTCCTCCTGTTTCTGTCTCTTCCCTCGGTGTTGTCTTTGTCTCCCCCTTTTTTTTTTTTTTCTCCTCTAATGAAGGCTAATGACAGGCTGGGGTAAGTCGGCTTGGGCCAGCACAGATCCTGCCACATTAATGTTGCAGTTTTTCTCAGACGGGACCTTCCAAATTACCGGTTACATTCACAGCCGCTGCCAGATTAAAGAAAGAGGGGGGGTGGCTGTGGAGTTGAATGGGAAGGATGGTTGCCACTGAGAGGGGCTCTGTCCATTTTTTTCATATCTGTTTCCCTTTGCAAACAGTTTTTCAACCTTTGCATGTCTCATTTTGTAAATGTGTGTGTGTGTGTGTGTGTGTATGTGTGTGTGTGTGTGTGTATGTGTGTGTGTGTGTGTGTGTGTGTGAGGAAGACGGAAAGTATAAAAGATGGCTGAACAATTAGATAGAAGTTGAGGCGATTATACGATGACCCCCCCCAAAAGGCGCAGGAGGCTCCTAAAAAAACCACGAGAGGAAGCAAAGTTGCAAAAGTAACAGTCAAAATATGTGAAAAGCCTTCCCTCCCCTGCCCACCCCCTCTTTCTTTTCCTCTCGCCCTCTCTTCTCTGTCTCCCTCTATTTCCCTTGCGCCTGACTGGCTCCCACTCTTCTCTCTGGGAGTAGCTGGGAGCCAGATTTCTGTGGAATAGAGATATGAAGGGTTGGGAGGGTGGCGAGGGGGCGCGAGACATGGCGCAGGAGGCACTCTAAAGGGTGGTGGAGGGGGGGGAGTTTGGAAACTGGAGCGTGGCCAACGCTACACTTTTTTTTACGCTCAAGAGAAACTTTAGACTGCAGAGGCCTAGCTTGTCAACGATTCAGACAACTGGGAGGTTTTTGAGAGTTAACAGCCCGCCTTGCTCGTCAGCTAAACACGGTTTTAGCTCAGGTTAATCTCCGTCACGCATAAATTCGAAGACGGTTTCCTATCATTTCCTCCAGTGGGGGGAAGCTCGTTGCCATCGAGAGAGAGACGGGGAGACGATCGGACAGTCGGTTGACGTCAGCACATTGTTGGCCACGCCGCAACAAAAATACAGCGAGCCAGACAGAAGATAAGCATTTAATGCCTAGATAAATATTGTACTGCGTGTGGACGCTTGCCTGCCAGTGTCTCAGAGTTGCTTTTCTTGTCTGAAGTCCAGGAATTCCAACATGGTTTTCCTGTGTGGCAGAAATCGAGGATGACAGTTTAGCTTTGGCTCTTGACAAAAGCAAATTCCCCATTTCCCAAACAAGGAATGAGGAAGAAACTGTTCTGAAGTAGTAACGTTTTAATACGTTTTGGGAGTGTTTTTCCTCGACATAGTTGACTTTTTCTTCACCTCTTGATCTACTTTTACTAGCTGGCATGTTTATAAAACACTGTTCTTTTCTGGTTTTATGTCTCTTTACTCTCCTCTCCTTTCGAGTATTTTATTGCCTAATGTTTCAGTGTCATTGTGTTTTCTCAAATCTAACCCTCTCCTTCTCTTGACTCTTTTCTCCTTTCAGATTCTCTGGCATTGCAGGAGTCTGGCGAGCGGGCCCACTGGTGCGTGGTGGCATACTGGGAGGAGAAGACTCGTGTCGGGCGCCTCTACTCGGTCCAGGAACCCTCTCTGGACATCTTCTATGATCTACCTCAGGGGAACGGCTTCTGCCTGGGCCAGCTCTGCTCCGAAAACAAGTCCCCGCTGGTGCAGATGGTGCGGGCCAAGATCGGCTATGGTATCCAGCTGACGCGCGAGCCGGACGGGGTGTGGGTCTACAACCGCAGCTGCTATCCCATCTTCATTAAGTCGGCCACACTGGATAACCCGGACTCGCGCACGCTACTGGTGCACAAGGTGTTCCCTGGATTTTCCATTAAAGCTTTTGACTATGACAAGGCCGGCAGCTTGCAGAGGCCCAACGATCACGAGTTCACGCAGCAGCCTCGCACAGGCTTCACAGTGCAGATAAGCTTTGTGAAAGGCTGGGGACAGTGCTACACCAGACAGTTCATCAGTAGTTGCCCATGCTGGCTGGAAGTCATCTTTAACACCCGATAGCAGCAGCAGCAGCAGCCTTCCCCCTCTTCTTCAACAGCCCTCACAAACGGACTACACCCACGTTCCTTGTTTTTTGTTTTTTTTTCCCTTCTCTCCACGGGAAAAAAAAAAGGATTTAAAAGAAGAAGAAAGTCTAAAATTCTGACGGGACTTTTGTTTAATAAATGACTAGGATTTAATTAAAGAAGCGAAAAAAATGTATTTTATGTTATATATAAATATATTATTAATTGTAAATATGAAGACGTTTTATATGCATCATTATTTATGTATTGTGCAATGTGTTGATGAGAAAAAAAATAAGATGCACTTTGCTTAATATAAATGCAAAACAAAGAAATGCCAAAATAATAATAAAAAAACAAATACAAATAATATTTCTTGTCCGGTCTTACTTTGGAGTTGTGGTGGTCTCATTCATTCATCCATGTTTCCTTTCAGTGCATAATTCAAATAAGATTATTTGAATGGATCCACATGTCAATTCTTTAAAACCCATCTAATTTGATTCGGTCTTCATTACACCCAAAGTCAACAGTGGCTTAACTTTATATTACTGAGGGACTTTGATGTTGTGCCACGGATCTTAAAAGCATTTCCCTCCCCAGACGAAATGAGTCAGACAGTGACAGAGCCATAGCTCACTGTCCGTGCTCCAACGGGCTCATTATGCCTTTTAAAATTGTCTGTTTTTCCTGCGTTATTTGGGGGATGAATGTCCCTCTTCCTCTCTGTCATTAAGAAACTGATGACATCACAGCCAGGAAGCCCTAATGACAAACTTCAGGAACCAATAAAGTCAACAGAGGGTCCGGTTTCCTGGAGGCGCAACTTTATTTAAAGGGCTGATAAAAACAAAAAGAATGCAGCATTAAAACAATCGCAGAAGAATTTGGTGCCACACCTAAGGAAATTAAAACTTTACTGGAAGATTACAACTTCACTTAGACATCTCCAGATATCAGAGGGGTGTATCGAGCATGCACTTGGAGATGTTGGCACATTAACAGCCTATTTCTCAAAACAGGGCAAACCAAAACAGATTTCCTTCTAACAAACACGTATATGCGTGAGGCATGAGTGTGTGTCTGTCTGGGTCCCGTCCTGTTGCTAGTCAGATGGGTGTCTGTGAAGAGGATTACTACTGTAAGCCTGCTTTACCCACACACACACTGTTTCAAAGACCTACATTCACAAGACCCACTTTCCACGCCATCCAATCCCCTCTAACCACCCCATCCTGCACTCTGCTAAAGAACACATGGCATTTCATAGAGAATACCAGAGACAAAAATCATATTTACTGATAGCAACTTTGCAGTGGAGACAGAAAGATGTCTGTATGTTTTTCTTCATGTCCTCCTTATTTGATGAAACCCTTTAGAAGTGTCTGAAATATCAGACCTTTCAAATAGATCTTGTCCAGCATAATTAGTGGGGAATTTATGTGCTTATATGTTTCTTATTGCTGCATTTTGCTTGTCTATTTGAACCTTTAAAAAAGAAAAAGACTGAAAAATGCAAATTTTTTGCTAGTGATATACTACACCATAAGACTAAGAATCACAAACATAAAGCCACATTGAAAAAGATATATCAGCAAGTGATTGTGGCTGAAACACAAGGATGGATGCATATTTATATTCTTTCTTATTAAAGACTGTGCTCAACACCTACACAACTTTATATCTTCGTATCTCCTTCAAAACCCACAAAGAAACCTTCACACAGAGACAGTCACTTAAATCAAAATCTATTTCCACATGATGGGACCCTTAAATCTCATGGCTATCTGTGTGTGTGTTGTGTGTGTCCTTCGAAACAATAATCCCCAACCCTGCTAATACAGCTAAAGCTGCTCGGAGCTGTGTGTGGTTGTGTGTCCTTATATCCATGACCCATGACTTCTCCAGACAGGGTGACCCCGATTCAATAATTCCATTAAAAGTATTGCAGCTTTCTCCAGAATCTCTCGTCAGCATGTACACGTACACAGCTAAAGTAAGCTGTTTGTGTGAATCGCTTCTAGGAAAAACACGAGTGCTTTAGTTCCACAGTATTTGACTCAGTATGTTTAAATGAGTCTGTTTTAGGAAAAAACAGCAAAAACGCTGCCTTCAACATCTTCTAAGGAAAGAATATTCAGCCAAATAAATACAATAATAAAGACTTTTTTCTAGCTCTTTTTGAGAATGAGGTGTTGTATTATAAATTAGTGGAATTGGTGAAGCGGTGCCCCTAGTGGTATGATGCAGTAAATGGCAGCTAATCCCAGTTGAGCAAACGAGTAGCATTTATTGATAAAAATTTGGCGTTAATATACAATATACCTTTTGACTGTCAAATGGCAGTTATGCTACTGTGAAACTGTCAGTGGTTAATGCTAGCTGAAGTAAGTCCGAAGTGAACTAAGAAACAGCCGGTCACGCCTTGTACCAATTTATTTACCTTTAGCACATCAAAATGTGGTGTAGCAAACGTTTTAAAAAACCGCCCGTTGTGTTAGCTTACTAGTTTGCCATTAGCCAAATTTCCAGGGTTAAGCTCCTTAGACTTCCAATGGTATAAATAACATCAAATATCATGTTTTAGCTAGACTAACTGTTTGCTATGGCTGGATACTTCTGTAAACAAAGTTCCCCAAAGTCACCATGGGACAAGACTATCACCTGGATACTGACCACTTAAGCTCCAGCCACAAGAAGAAGTGGCTATCAGCATCAGGTAAGCAGCGTTGGGAATGGCATGTTACTGCCATTAAATATTTTGGTAATGCAGAAATGTACCACATTATTATACTGAGTTCAGTAATCCCATTGCAGTTATGGCATTTCTTATGTTACTTAAGTTCTTCAGATATCTGCCAGATGGGTGGATAGAAATAATAATAATAATGATAAAAATTTAAAAAGTCAAGCATGTCTATTTCTTCCTGTGCACTTCCACTACAATGAGCTAATTTCAGGAAGGAGGAAGTTGGTAGAGTGGTCTATAACTTTTGAGGAGTGTCGATATGGACTTTGCTTTTATTTCCATTGCACCAAAGAACAAGAGCCTAGTGTTAAAGTGCAAACTGCATTAGGACAGAAACAATACTCCTAGCACAATGTCTGTGCTTTGCAAGTGCCTGCACACACAGCAAAGAACCCTGAGTGTATGCCAACCCCAGCCCAGGAGCCAGACACTGAACTTCAATAGGTAACACAGGTAGCCTGTAGTAACGTAGCCTCCATTTCTATCCGTACATGTTTGCACAGTAGAATTACAGTGGCAGTAACTCTGAAGTTTCTTTGGACTGGTTTTTCAATTTAGCTTTGTGTTTATATTTAAACACTAAAAGGAAACTTGTGTGTGTGTGTGTGTGTGTGTGTGTGTTCATTAGGATGGGCATTGGTGTCACTGTGTGGGACTGAATGGACTGTGGGTTTTTATTGTTAACAAGTAATTAACTTACAAAGCTTCTGAATAAAACAACAGTAATGTAATGACTAGGGTAACAAATTAGTTTTTCCAGAGAGTACTCTTAAGTAACATAATGTATCAACAATCAACAATTAATGCAGTATTTTGTGTAACAACGTAACACCGCAGGTGAGTAAAAAACATAGTCTCTCGTCCCCCCCCCCAAATGGCTTTATTGGTGCTTTATTCTGCTTTTTGAACATCTTGTAAACTCTGCTGGGGGAATTTTGCATTTAAGGCTTGCTGGCAGGATGAAAAGAAAAGGAGAGAAAGAAGGCTTTCTGTCTTTCTTCTCTTCACTCATTTCTAGAAATGAGTGAAATCCAGAATTTTTTCACTTAATGCATCATATTTTAAAGGTGTAGCACCTGCAGAGATTCCCTATTTTGCAGGAGCACCTGTGTGATGGTGAACTGTGAGTATAAAAAAATGAAATAAAACGAAATCTAAAAATACAAAATAATTCTTTCACATGAAATTAAAATGTCACAAGGAAAAAAGGTACTTACTGAATGGCTCTGGCCCTGCTGTGCCCCTGATTCACTGCTCATACCTAAACAAACCAATAGTCATGCATCAACCAAATCTCTTAAACACACGTACTGCAGGCCAATTCCCATAGAGTAAAGTAAAAACCATCCAGAGCGTCACAAGTGGTGTTGGGACAATTTATACAGTGTTGTATTAGAAAAACAAAGTTCAGACATTGGTGACCTTGGTTACAGCCATGGTGGCAAGTTATAATATTTTTCTATCAGGGTCACTTCACTATCTCAACCAATAGTACCTCTATTCTTCTGGATTCTCGCCACCTTTGGCAGTGTCTTTCTTCTATTGCTATTGAACCACTGGGTTAGCAGCTAATTCAGTCAGTATCCATATTTGTGACATGTGCTATATGTGGGCCTCCTGTCCTTCAGTTTTTTTCTGTCCTTGTGCATGTATTACTTCGTCTACCTGCTTCTCAACAGCTGAGTGAATCCCATTGATCTGGGTGATTTATAGCTTGAAGTTCTGCTCTGTCACAAAGGCGATAGTTGTTGCAAGCTGAAGCTTGTAAATTATTATTTTTTTTTTTTTAATTGAAGCTGCCTCCTCACTCACCAGGGTTGCAGGTCCAATAGTTGTTTATTGCTTAAGAAGGTTCCTAACTGACCTGGAAGTAGCTTCATAATGACAGCTGGCCAATTCAAATTAAAATACCAAGTGCTTCCTTTATAACCTCCTTTAGTGTAGGACACGCAATGGATACTCCTTGTAAAAGGAGGTGAGATAATACCGCTCTGTATTTCACAACTGCCATTTAAAGAAAATCAACATAACTGACAGGTGGTGATAATCACTTGCATGGTAATGTTTCTATTTCTTGCCACAATCCCTTCATATGTTTTAAACCTTCATCTACAGGCTTGTAAAACCCACGAGTGAACTATGAACTGTATGCTGCTGTAATAAAATTAGTTTATTATGAAGCAATTACCTTACCTAACATATATATATATATATATATATATATATATATATATATATATATATATATATATATATACCTATATCAACGTTGTTTATCATGGTTCAGTTTGCATTAGTTGTGCCCTCAGTTTAACTATTGCTATTTTGCTAGTGTTTAGGATTAATATAAATTCTGTTCATTTTTGCCACAAAGCTTTAATTAATT